CTCATCATATGCACTCCACTACACGAGCATCTACTACCGTAACACGACAGCTAAGCTGTCAAATAATAGGAAAACAAGGCAATGTATAACCTATGAATATCTGCACCTAGCAAACATGACAATCCATAACCTAAGCCTAACAGATAAATACGAATTACTCAAGCCTTCATTTCGGTGGCTAGTTAGCTGGTTGTCTGTATGGCTAGTGAAAGTGACAGCTGAGGTTGACGCTTTGTGAGTGCAGGCTAAATCTACTGCTACACACAACTTTTCTTGCCTGACAGACTAACTAGTTACCTAGCTAGCTATAGCAAGCAGCTTGGGCCATTTCCATATCAATTACATCGGTAGAAACAAGGCAAAACAACCAACTAGTTAGCTGACTATATACAGCTAAACACTGCAACAATTTATATGAGACAGAGAGTAATCATTCGAGCTCTACCGCTGATGTGCTCGCCTGTACCAACCAAGTTGTCATGACATCACAGGACTTGCTATTCCCCTAGTTTTACAGCATCAAACATTGACAAAACCAAACATATATCTGCTGTTTACTTATTTCCCTCAACTTGACATCATCGCTTTTCAATGTCCAACAACGTGTGCAAATCCATATCACCTACCAACATCATCGTTTCTGCTTAGGCACTGTCAGTTTGACTAATGAAGTTTAAAAAACGTTGAAAATTCAAATGACAGCATACCCGGTTTCCGGTCTCTTATTGATGACAACAGCCACGCAAATAAGGAAATAGGTTGTTAGCAAGTTCATTTTGCAATATTGACACAGATATTATTGTTAGAAAATCAAGGCAGTTCGCGGCCGCTATAGTAATTTAAAGAAAGGCCATCACCGGCCGCTATTGGTTCTAAAGGGTTAAATGCAGAGGTCAAGGCCAATGGAAAGCTTTGCAAAGGATACGCTGAATGACTGTAACATGGCCTCTTTGCATACCCTTCCCCTACCCATGGTGTTGGAAGCACTGCGGTATAAAGAACTGGAGACTGCATCCATGATGTCTGACCGTTGTTTTCAAGGTAATATACTCATGTTCGCATACATCGATTCATGGACGTCTATATCCTGGACCAACAGATCACATGCGCGATAGCACTAGCACTCAGTCCGCACAGGGAGCAGCGCGAGCAGTGTCGACATCATTCAAAAATATGGCAGACATTGGATGAATATAACATGTTAATATTGTCTACTGTGAGTGATGGGGGAAAAAATTGGCCTCAGTGACAATTATTTGAATAATTCAATGGATGTTTTGTGCACAAAGGTGATGACTAAAGTGTCTTATTAGGAATTTTCAAATCTGACCTCTATGTGGTCGTCTATGGAAATGTTATTTCTGGGCCGTGCGTCAGTTAAACTGCAGTACCAAAGCAAGACTGTAGGAGTAGTCGAAACAGTGCTTCTAGACCTGAGCCCTAGCCCCTGGAAAGATGTTTGTGCTTGATCATGTGTTGTTCCTTCACTCTTTCTAGAAGCAATCAGTTGCAAGGCAAAAAGACAGATTGAGGCCTTCAATCAAACTGAGGACAGAGAAATATGTGTGCACCAGGTCAAGGCTTCTTGCATGCATGGCTTTGAGATGTAAGTTATTAGCAATAATTCTTTTTGGAAAAATAATATGAATGGCCATATTAGGCATAACAATATTTTATTCCACCCAAGCCTTACACACCTAAGTCAGGAAGAAGAGACCACTAGTAGACAACTACCCCTTAAGTCCCCAGTCCCCATAATTACTTGATTTGTTTGAATCAATTGTGTTGAGGCTTGGCCGGAGAAAAAACAGGTATATTGTGGCTCTCTAGGAACAGTTGGCCACACATTTAAAGGTAGATTTACTAGGCCCAGTTTATGCTAGCTACATTGGTTGTTTATATAGCATTTATATAAGGCAGAAACATTGTTTCCTTGCTGAAAAACATATAGAATGCCAGTTTCAGTGAGAAGCATAGCAACATCAAGGCAACTTTGTAACAGTTGACCCCATTTTTCCAAAGCCAAACCTGTCCATTAGCCACTGAGTCTACCTTTTAAGATGCCAATATAGAAAATGTTTTCAGTTATTGTTTTTAGTATCCTAATGTTGTTTTTGTTTAGTGTTTTCTGATTGTTTCAGTGCATGCATTACACAAGCTTTGGACAAAGGACTTCCACAGGGCAGTCATCTCCAAAGTTAACTCAAAAAAGGCAATAGTTCTGAACTGGGTTAGATTTTGTTAAAATTATTTAAATTGAATTAATTCTCCTTTAAACATCCATTGGTTGAAAGCCTATTGCTCAGTTATCACTTGGCTCATGTAAATCCTGTAGTTGCCCCTTTAAACATCCTAAGGTCTACATCCCCATATGTAAAATGTATGCAGGCATGACTGTAAGTCGCTTTGGATAAAAGCGGCTGCTAAATGGTGTATATTACATTAGTATTCGCATTTCTCTAATGTAAATGTTGTAGCTACATAAAAATATTAAATAAACCATTTATTTGGGAGATATTCAGTCTTTGCTCTTTTCTTCATTAGCATGCTGATGATTTCAAGTTGTATTGTATTTATTTTTTATCTGCTAAGACATTGAATACATGTTGTTTAGCAGGCTTGTGCACCGATAGGGCTCTACCCCCTTTGCCAGTGGTGTACCACAGTTCTGTCTGCCCCGCGCCATCACTTTGGAGGGTAGCCTTCCTGCAGTGGCCGTAGCCTTGTTCTTCCTCACAAATATCGTAATAAATTCGCCAGAATATGTTACATATTCATCCCATAATATTGAAGGCAGTGCCATGTTACAGCTGTTTATCTTTAGACATATAGCCAGTAGCTAGGTTTATCTGATTTATGAAAATGGTCAATCAAATCGCCAGGTAGCCTATTGTTCTGGCAGAGATGAGTCAGTAGTATATTTCTAAACTGTATTTTATATGGACGATAAGCAGAAGCCCTACTATGTTTCTGCCAGGCAAAACAGGAGGAAATGATACAAGTTATTTCTGGTCACTAAACTAGGGGTGCGTTGGTAAATTGGCTATCTACTCCGAATGCAGAGCAATCTCGTCTGAGTGTTCCAGAGCGCAGAATAACTGATTAATTTATGAACACTCAACACCCGTTGAATATGGCTGGTGTCAGTAAACGTTGGCAAAAAAGCGTAATTAAATTGTTGCCAGCAGCACAGTTACAGTCACCAACGCTATGGATAACATGAAAACAGCCTAACCAGCTCTGCTAGGGTGAGTAAAATTTGTCAGAGTGGAAGTAGCTAGCAAGCTAGCTAACGTTAGCTTGGGTGCCGTTGTGAGGTCAGAACGCTCGGATCAACCCACTCCTCACAGCCAGAGCGTCCAGCGTGCGCTCTGAACGCTCCGAGAGCGAAACGCCCAGAGCAAACTGTGGCACTCCAGATTGAATTTACGAACACACCCTAGATATATGCACCTGCATTTGTGCGCCAATGCTGATGACTGGTCATTGGTCAACAATCAAGACGCGCAACTTTTTGGTTCTGAAGCATATGAGAATTTATCGACCCGCAAAATATGCTTTTCCATCTGATCCTGCAACCTCCATTACAAGTAGGCCATATGATTGTGCTTGCTCTGGACTTCAGACAGTAGCGGTGCGTGTTAAAATCACTGGGCAAGCCAAGCCAGTAAAAAAAGCCATATTACAACCTATGTTGTGATAATTGTGTTGTTTGCTCTATAACCCATTCGCCACCGTGATAAACAATAAGGCCGAGACAACAGTCACACAGTGGCGGAATAAATTCAACTACACATACGTGTGTTTCATCACAAAAGCAGAGAGAAACATCTGTCCTGTGAAGTCCACAAAGCAAATATTTCATGTAACAAACAGTTACATGACCAACAGCATGGTCGAGCAAATTCATGTTTTCGACAGTTTACTAAACTACTGATTTAGAACCACGGAGTTACTGCAAGTCAGCACAAAGACAACAGGAGCACTGCTATTCCAGCACAATTTCAATTTAAACATAATCAAATCAACTAGGCAATATATGCTTATGCAGGTCTGCATACCCACATCCATACCCACACGCAGTCAGAGGCGGCCCTAGCCTTTTGGGGGCCCTGAACAAAATTTAAGGTTTTAGAGTTAATTTCCTGCAATTCTACTAATTTTTGCCATGGTGTGGACTGAAAATGTAGCAGTTTTAAAACAAGTTTGCTGCAAATCGACACAATTTGCCATGGGGCGGAGAGAAGATTTTGCAATTTTATAACTCATTTCCTGCAATTCTACAGATTTTGCCATAGGGTGGAAAGAAATGTTTGCAGTTTTTAATATGATATCTGACTGCGAGTGATTAACAAAATCAATGGGGGCCCCAGAGTCGGTAATTTGACCATGATTACTACAAGTTTAGATAGTCTTGTGGCCAGCAGACTGTGGACTCTACCCCCTGCAAGGCCAGCCAGCTGGTAACTGACATGGCACAGCTGTAGCCCCTCTCCCCTCGTCCTCTCTCCCCATCCAACCTCTCCCCTTGCTCTGCTCTCGCTGCTCTGTGACCATCACCCGGCTTGGCGTGCACTCTCTTGCCGGCTACCCTCGCCTTCTTTCCTTGCTCGCTTGCCCCGTTGTTACACTGTCGCCTGTCTGGCCCTGCTTCTCCAGTGCCAGTATGGGGCAAGACTGTTGCAAGCTCCACAAACCACAGATTGTCTACACTGTGGGTAAGGGCACCTTGTGCGTGCGTATCTGTTTAAATGATTTCCATTTCAAACAGAGACATAAGTAATGTTTCTATTTTGTTTTACCAAACCACACAATGCTGTACCTTTAATATCTCTCCTTCCTCTCTTTCTCTGTCTCTCTTTGTCTTTCTGCCTATTCTCTCTGTCTCTGTCTCTGTCTCTGTCTCTGTCTCTGTCTCTGTCTCTGTCTCTCTCTCTCTCTCTCTCTCTCTCTCTCTCTCTCTCTCTCTCTCTGTCTCCGTCTCTCTCTCTCTCTCTCAGGGATGCATCCTTCTCCAGGGCAGTCAGGTCAGCAAGCTGCCTGCCAATCAGGATGAAGCTGGTTGCCACCTGTTTGAGATTGTTCCAGGTAAGTCACCATAGTGGTATCTAACCATTCCCTGTGATGAGGTACTACTTGAACTTATCCAATAAGAAGCATTCATTTTTGTTTGCCATTTCAAAATATATTGCTACTGTGTGCCCTATGCTGAGCAAGACCCAGGTAAAGCCTAAATTATGAAATGATGGAGTTTCTCAGGGAACTCTGGGTAGCAAAGCTGTTCACAGACTAGAAAGTTATCATTTGGAAGAAAATAAGGAAAACAACCAACAACTCCCTTTTTCTGAATCAATCAATCAATGAATGTATGAATGAATGAAGTAAGAATACTTTTTGTATGACTTGTTAGGGGACTTGTAAGGAGATTTGAAACAGGACTTGTAAGGGGACTCATAAGGACTTTGTTGGCTTGTGTACTGTGCTGCACTGGGCTGCTGACTCTCTCTGTCCTGTTATGCCCTGCTGGCACACAGGACCAGCCCTGCTTGGCACACACACCTGGCTGCGTGCAGACTGTGGACTCTACCCCCTGCAAGGCCAGCCAGCTGGTAACTGACATGGCACAGCTGTAGCCCCTCTCCCCTCGTCCTCTCTCCCCATCCAACCTCTCCCCTTGCTCTGCTCTCGCTGCTCTGTGACCATCACCCGGCTTGGCGTGCACTCTCTTGCCGGCTACCCTCGCCTTCTTTCCTTGCTCGCTTGCCCCGTTGTTACACTGTCGCCTGTCTGGCCCTGCTTCTCCAGTGCCAGTATGGGGCAAGACTGTTGCAAGCTCCACAAACCACAGATTGTCTACACTGTGGGTAAGGGCACCTTGTGCATGCGTATCTGTTTGTCTTTCTGCCTGCCTGCGTGTGCTGTGTCTGAGCAGTGTAAACACCTAGGTGGTGAACAGGTTATTGATAGTTCTGTATGTGTTCAGCGATGATCATGCAATGTGTGGCTATCTCAGTTGTAAATCACTCTGTGAATCAGCGGGGCAACCAGAAGAGAAGCAATGGAACTCTAGACTGCTCGTATGTGTTCAGACACACACAAATACACACACCAAACAGCCGCACACATACACACACACACACACACACACACACACAACCACACCCTGTGACAATTTACTGCTGGGGGTTGCATGTGTCTCTGACAGAACTTTCAAGAATACAGTATCATGACAATGTTGATCATTTCACAATTAATACATGACAGAATATTCAAATCAATCACTTTAATCTGGGCTCCATCCACCATAAATCTAGGTGCTTTTCTCTGCTACTGTATTTACGCAGACGTTTGGCTTTGGTGTATGTATGTGCTATAGCTGACACTCCCTCTGTCCCTCCCTCCCTCTGTCTGTCTTTCTGTCCCTCTGTCTGTTCCTCTGACTCTGCTTGGGGGAATCTGTCAAGTGATAAATCTGAAAGAGAAAGTGTGTGTCTGTCTGTCCCTCTGTGCAGAGGAGGGAAAGTGCTAACCCTGTTGACCGGCATTCATGAACAGCCTATATAAACCACATGAATGTCAATAACGTCAACACCCACTGGTCGCTAGACGACCGCGCTTGTGACTGCTACATACTGGGACTGGAGTGTTTTGTTCCAAAAGAGAGAGAGCGAGAATGTGTGTGTGTGTATGTGTGTGCACATGCGTGTGTGTGTCCAGTGTCACCTTGGGCCATTAACTGCTGCCAAAACAAAAAGGGAAAGAGACAGGGTACCTATCCTCTCCCCAGAGCGAGAGAAAGAGGTGAAGGGAGAGGTCAGGTAAAACAGAGAGTGAATGACAGGCAGGCAGACAAACAGACACAGACAGACAGACAGACAGACAGACAGACAGACAGACAGACAGACAGACAGACAGGCAGGCAGGCAGGCAGGCAGGCAGGCAGGCAGGCAGGCAGGCAGGCAGGCAGGCAGGCAGGCAGGCAGGCAGGCAGGCAGACAGACAGACAGGGAAGGGTAAGGGGAAGGGGAAGGGAAGTGAAGGGAAGGGAGTGGAGTTTTACATACAGTAACAACTGCAACAATAGTAAACAGAGGGATATATACACGTAGACACACAGTCACTGGCATAATTCCACCACACCATCTAGCGGTCTACTGAGAAAAATACAAAGATTGATGAGCACCAATGTTAAAGGCTCTTGTATGGCACATAAGCACAGAGCATTACATGATGACATTGACAATACCAATTACCTCATACTATGTAGATGGCATCATTGCAAAAGACAAGCACTGAGCTCATGAAGACATCAACAGCGCACTATGCATGTGTGTCAGTGGCAGTCGGTACCATTTAAGATTAGAGAGGACTAATTTTTTATTTATATTACAGCATATTGGATGACTGCCATTCACATTCCATTCACCCAGCTCAATGTAACATCAATAGATTTAGGGCACTACATGATACTGGATTTTGCCCTATACCCATCATGAGGTTGCTACAACCTGGCCTACAAATGAACGTTTATAACATAGGTGCACAGGTCAAGAGACAAATTGGAGTAATCAAGGTGACAGACAGTGACACATTAAATACCGCCTTGCACACTCTTGCCTGCATCTAGCTGATCTGGGATCATTAGTCCAAACAGTTGCAAAACGTTCCATTTTGCAACTAAAATGAGAGTTTCTGTTGGACAAATTCAGGTAGGTCCCTCACCATTTCGTTCCATTTGCTTCAGTTTAAGAAATGTTTTGCAACAGAATTGGTGGAATGAATACACCCCTGATCACAAAAAGTTCACGTTCATAGCAGCCACATACAGGTTCATCACTTTGCTCGTTGTATAATTCCTTCTTGCATCTACACACTATTACTCTCACCTTCTCCCTCGCTTGTGGACTTCAGTGCACAACACAACCGCTCTCTGTGACCAGGTGCAAAAGCTTCTCCAAGACAAACCTTCATACCATAACCGCTAACCGCGACACAGCGTACGTCATTGTCAACATGTTAACGTTATAGTCAACAAACTACACTGATCAAAAATATGAACGCATGTAAAGTGTTGGTCCCATGTTTCATGAGCTTAAATAAAATATCTATGAAATCTCCCATACACACAAAAAGCTTATTTCTCTCAACTTTTGTGCACAAATTTGTTTACATCCCTGTTAGTGAGCATTTCTCCTTTGCCAAGATAATTCATCCACCTGACAGGTGTGGCATATCAAGAAGCTGATTAAACAGCATGATCATTACACAGGTGCACCTTGTGCTGGGTACAATAAAAGGCCACTCTAAAATGTGCAGTTTTGTCACACAACACAATGCCACAGATGTCTCAAGTTTTGAGAGAGTGTGCAATTGGCATGCTGACTGCAGGAATGTCCACCAGAGCTGTTGCCAGAGAATTGAATGTACATTTCTCTACCATAAGCCAACGTCATTTTAGAGAATTTGGCAGTACGTCCAACCAGCCTCCCAACCGCAGACCACGTGTAACCACACCAGCCCAGGACCTCCACCATCCGGCTTCTTCACCTGCGGGATTGTCTGAGACCAGCCACCCGGACAGTTGATTAAACTGTGGGTTTGTACAACCGACAAATTTCTGCACAAACTGTCAGAAACCGTCTCAGAGAAGCTCATCTGCATGCTTGTCGTCCTCACCAGCGTCTTGACCTGACTGCAGTTTGGCGTCGTAACCGACTTCAGTGGGAAAATGCTCACCTTTGATGGCCACTGACACGCTGGAGAAGTGTGCTAGTGTGCTCTTCATGAATAAATCCCGGTTTCAACTGTACCGGGCAGATGATGACAGACAGCGTCTATGGCATCGTGTGGGGAAGCGGTTTGCTAATATCAACGTTGTTATGCTTAACACCCCGGCCATCCTACAATCCAAACTAGATGCCCTCAATCTCACACAAATTATCAACGAACCTACCAGGTACAACCCTAAATCTGTAAACATGGGTACCCTCATAGATATCATCCTGACTAACTTACCCTCTAAATACACCTCCACTGTCTTCAACCAGGATCTCAGCGATCACTGCCTTATTGCCTACGTCCGTAACGGGTCCGTGGTCAAACGACCACCCCTCATCACTGTCAAACGCTCCATAAAACACTTTAGCGAGCAGGCCTTCCTAATTGACCTGGCCCAGGTATCCTGGATGGATATAGATCTCATTCCATCAGTAGAGGATGCCTGGTTGTTCTTTAAAAGTAATTTCCTCTCAATCTTAAATAAACATGCCCCATTCAGAAAATACAGAACTAAGAACAGATATAGCCCCTGGTTCTCCTCAGACTTGACTGCCCTTGACCAGCACAAAAACATCCTGTGGCGTACTGCATTAGCATCAAATAGCCCCCGCGATATGCAACTTTTCAGGGAAGTTAGGAACCAATATACACAAGCAGTCAGGAAAGCAAAGGCTAACTTTTTCAAACAGAAATTTGCATCCTGTAGCACTAACTCCAAAAAGTTTTGGGACACTGTAAAGTCCATGGAGAATAAGAGCACTTGCTCCCAGCTGCCCACTGCACTGAGGCTAGGAAACACTATCACCACCGATAAATCTACAATAATCGAGAATTTCAACAAGCATTTTGCTACGGCTGGCCATGCTTTCCACCTGGCTACCACTACCCCGGCCACCAACTCTGCACCCTCCGCTGCAACTTGCCCATGCCCCCCCCCGCTTCTCCTTCACACAAATTCAGAAAGCTGATGTTCTGAAAGAGCTGCAAAATCTGGACCCCTACAAATCAGCTGGGCTAGACAATCTGGACCCTTTCTTTCTAAAACTAGCCGCCGAAATTGTCGCAACCTCTATTACTAGCCTGTTCAACCTCTCTTTCGTAACGTCTGAGATCCCCAGAGATTGGAAAGCTGCCGCGGTCATCCCCCTCTTCAAAGGGGGTGACACTCTAGATCCAAACTGTTACAGACCTATATCCATCCTGCCCTGCCTTTCGAAAGTATTTGAAAGCCAAGTTAACAAACAGATCACCGACCATTTCGAATCCCACCGTACCTTCTCCGCTATGCAATCCGGTTTCCGAGCTGGTCATGGGTGCACTTCAGCCACGCTCAAGGTCCTAAACGATATTATAACCGCGATCGATAATAGACAGTACTGTGCAGCCGTCTTCATCGACCTGGCCAAGGCTTTCGACTCTGTCAACCACCACATTCTTATTGGCAGACTAAATAGCCTTGGTTTCTCAAATGACTGCCTCGCCTGGTTCACCAACTACTTCTCAGATAGAGTTCAATGTGTCAAATCGGAGGGCCTGTTGTCTGGACCTATGGCAGTCTCTATGGGGGTGCCACAGTGTTCAATTCTTGGGCCGACTCTTTTCTCCGTGTATATCAATGATGTCGCTCTTGCTGCTGGTGACTCTCAGATCCACCTCTACGCAGACGACACCATTTTGTATACATCTGGCCCTTCATTGGACACTGTGTTAACAATCCTCCAAACGAGCTTCAATGCCATACAACACTCCTTCAGTAGCCTCCAACTGCTCTTAAACACTAGTAAAACTAAATGCATGCTCTTCAATCGAACGCTGCTGGCACCCGCCCACCCGACTAGAATCACTACTCTCGACGGGTCTGACCTAGAGTATGTGGACAACTACAAATACCTAGGTGTCTGGTTAGACTGTAAACTCTCCTTCCAGACTCACATTAAGAATCTCCAATCCAAAGTTAAATCTAGAATCGGCTTCCTATTTCGCAACAAAGCCTCCACTCATGCTGCCAAACATGCCCTCGTAAAACTGACTATCGTACCGATACTTGACTTGGGCGACATCATTTACAAAATAGCCTCCAACACTCTACTCAGCAAATTGGATGTAGTCTATCACAGTGCCATCCGTTTTGTCTCCAAAGCCCCATACACTACCCACCACTGTGACCTGTACGCTCTTGTTGGCTGGTCCTCACTACATGTTCGTCGTCAAACCCACTGGCTCCAGACCATCTATAAATCACTGCTAGGCAAATTCCTGCCTTATCTTAGCTCATTGCTCACTATAGCAGCACCCACCCGTAGTCTGCGCTCCAGCAGGTATATCTCACTGGTCATCCCCAAAGCCAACACCTCCTTTGGCCACCATTCCTTCCAGTTCTCTGCTGCCAATGACTGGAACGAATTGCAAAAATCTCTGAAGCTGGAGACTCTTATCTCCCTCACTAACTTTAAGCATCAGTTGTCAGAGCACCTTACCGATCATTGCACCTGTACACAGCCCATCTGAAATTAGCCCACCCAACTACCTCATCCCTATATTGTTATTTATTTTGATATTTGGCACCCCAGTATCTCTATTTGCACATAATCTCTTGCACATCTAGCATTCCAGTGTTAATTCTAATTGTAATTATTTTGCACTATAGCCTATTTATTGCCTTACCTCCATAACTTGCTACATTTGCACACACTTTATATATATTTTCTGTTGTATTTGTTTGACTTTATGTTTTTTTACCCCATATGTAACTCTGTGTTGTTGTTTTTATCGCACTGCTTTGCTTTATCTTGGCCAGGTCGCAGTTGTAAATGAGAACTTGTTCTCAACTGGCTTACCTGGTTAAATAAAGGTGAAAATTGATGGCAATTTGAATGCACACAGATGGCAATTTGAATGCACACAGATACCGTGATGAGATCCTGAGGCCCATTGTCATGCCATTCATCTGCCGCCATCATCTCATGTTTCAGCATGATAATGCACAGCCCCATGTCGCAAGGATCTGGTACACAATTCCTGGAAGCTGAAAATGTCCCAGTTCTTCCATGGCCTGCATACTCATCAGACATGTCACCCATTGAGCATGTTTGGATGCTCTGGTTCGACATGTACTACAGCACAGCACGTTCCAGTTCCCACCAATATCCAGCAACTTTGCACAGCCATTGTAGAGGACTGGGACAACATTCCACAGGCCACAATCAACAGCCTGATCAACTCTATACAAAGGAGATGTGTTGCGATGTATGAGGCAAATGGTGGTCACACCAGATACTGACTGGTTATCTGATCCACACCCCTACTTTAAGGTATCTGTGACCAACAGATGCGTATTTGTATTCCCAGTCATGTGAAATCTATAGATTAGGGCCTAATTTATTTATTTCAATTGACTGATTTCCTTAAATGAACTGTAACTCAGTAAAATCTTTGAAATTATTGCATTGCGTTTATTTTTTTGTTCAGTGTAGAACTAACGTGTTAGTAAACCCACAATCCAATCCATGTTTACATTCACGTAGTACAGTGTACAGCAACAGTTTAGCAGTTACACCGGCGGGCCCCGGTGGCAATACATTAATACAACCGAAAGCTTACCTTAACTTGGAAGAGTTGCAGTGCTTTAGCCAGCTATCTAACAGAAATAGCATTCCTCTCTGTTTGAGTCAGGTTGTTGAGTAGGCTAAATTAGCTGCATTAGCTAAGTAAGGTAAACTAAAAGGGGGGGGGGTGGATTACGAAATATGTATCTCTCTCTCTCTCTGATGCTTCTCCTTAATTTTTGAAGAAATGAATTTGTTCAAAACTTTTCAACTATTGTCTTTCTTTCTCTTTGAGTCAACTACTCACCTCACTTTATGCACTGCAGTGCTAGCTAGCTGTAGCTCATGCTTTCAGTACTAGATTCATTCTCTGATTCTTTGATTGGTTGGACAACATGGAGGACGTCCTCTGGAAGTCATCATAATTACTGTGTAAGTCTACGGAAGAGGGTGTGAACCATGAGCCTGCTAGGTTTTGTATTGAAGTCAATGTACCCAGAGGAGGACGTAAAATAGCTATCCTCCGGCTACACCACGGTGATACCCTAGAGGGTGCTGTTGAGGCTACTGTAGACCTTTATTGCAAAACAATGTGTTTTATAAGTTATTTGGTGACGTGAATATATGTGGTATAGATTTATTTAAAAAAATATAACTTTTTTTATGTTTCACTATTTATTTTTTTCAGAAATTAGAGTAGGATGGTCCTCCCTTTCTTCCTCTGAGGAGCCTCCACTGATGTGTGTGTGTGTGTGTGTGTGTTTGTTTGCAGGAGGCAGTGGAGAGAAGGATCGTTCAGGTCTGAGCGAGTCTTTCCTGTTGATGGCTAACTCTCAGAGTGACATGGAGGAGTGGGTCAGAGCCATACGAAGAGCTATATGGGCCCCGCTAGGAGGAGGTAACACACACTCACACACAGACACACACACACACACACACACACACACACACACACACACACACACACACATGATCATGCACATACTCACACACACAAACACACACACACACACACACACAAACACACACACAGAGACATACACACACACATGCTCATACTCACATACACACAGACACATACATGCACACATACCCACACACACCAAAAAAAAAAACACACACACACCAACATGTAACAGCCAGTTTATTGCGTGTGTGTGTGTGCATGCGTGCGCGTACGTGCGTGCGTGTGTGCCTGCGTGTGTGTGTGTGCTTGGAATCTGGGTGCCATTGCTCTAGGTATCTTTGGCCAGCATCTGGAAGAGACAATACAGTGTGAGAGTGGGTGTGGCAGCAGCAGCAAGCCTGTGGTGCCTCTGCTGGTGGAGCAGTGTGTGTGTTTTATACACCAGCACGGCCTCACAGAGGAGGGGTTGTTTAAAATGCCTGGACAGACCAATCACGTAAGAGAGCTGCAGGATGCCTTTGACTGCGGGGAGAAACCAGTGTTTGACAGGTAGGAGAAGTCCTTTACTTTCACATCAAATGACAGGTAACACAACATTATGTAACACAACACAGGTACATGGGCTCTATTGGAAATCAGTTATAATGATGTTTAACAGATTATCTACAGATACAGTTTATTTAAATATTATTATGGAAAGAGGAAAACACAATGTATGACCGTGAACTGTACTGACCTGTCCTGCAGTAACACTGATGTCCATACGGTGGCTTCCCTTTTGAAGCTCTACCTCAGAGAGCTGCCGGAGCCTGTGGTGCCTTTCAACAAATACACAGAGTTCCTCTCCACCGCTCAGCTACTGGCCAAGGACCAGGAGGAGGTGTGTGTGTGTGTGTGTGTGTGTGTGTGTGTGTGTGTGTGTGTGTGTGTGTGTGTGTGAGTGACACACGTGCCTCAAGTAGTAATGCTCTCATTCAAACCCTAATGAATGTCCTTTTGAAGGGGATCTTTGAGCTGGGTAGGCAGGTGAAGACTCTTCCTCAGGTCAACTATAACCTCCTCAAATACATCTGCAGGTAAACAGATTATAATGATGTCATCTATGAGTACTGAGTATTGCTGAGTCTCTCCTATCTCTCTCTCTAGTCTCCTCCATCTCTGTAGATATTAGTAATACATAATGACATAATCTCTATAGATACTGACGTAAATACATGTCTGCCTTCCATCTCTATGATTACTATCAATACATCTTCAATGACATCATTCTAGATATAAATCTTTAATGACATCATCTAATACTATAAATAAGTGTTTTAATGATGTCAGAAGGCAGCTGTGGCAGCAGATCACACAGACGGTGCAAACAGCATGACTCACCACCACCTCTCATACTATATCTGTCTCAGTCTGAATCATACTGAACATACAACAAATTTGATATTCAGACAATCTTGGATGAAATAAAATGTGCTTCAGGTATTTATTTATTTTTTTGCTCTGTGTTTTATTCTTACTAGCCTTTATATGTGTGTGTGTGTGTGTGCGAACCTGCGTGTGTGTGTGTGTTTGCGTGTATTTACACTATAGATTCCTAGATGAGGTCCAGTCCCACTCCAGTCAGAACAAGATGAGTGTTCAGAACCTGGCCACTGTGTTTGGACCCAACATCCTCCGACCCAAGATGGAGGATCCACAAACCATGATGGAGGGTAGATACCAACGCATTTCCCTCTCGAATGACACACGTGCTATGAGCAAACTAACCATAGCATTTCATGTGGGGATTTGTAAAATAATAAGATGAAGCAAATAACTTTTATTTTACAATGTCAGTGAAAAGGAGGCATTGTTAAACCAGAGTTTAAAGCCAGAATACATAATTTGTTTCTCAGCTAACCAGCAGCCCTGCCATCTTTTTTAGATCATCTGAAGCATTAGGCTGGAGAAAGCATTTTCAGTGTCTGGAAAAGTGCTATATATAAATCCTATCAAAAACGATTATCTTTTTTTTCCACCCTGCAGGTAGTTCCCAGGTGCAGCACCTGATGACTGTACTGATCAGTGAACACTCTCGTCTGTACCAGGGGGAGGCAGAGACTCCCAGGGAGGACCAATCTGCCCCTCCTCCGACTCCTTATCCCCGGGCCCCTACAATTCAGCACTGCAGGGTGGAGTGGCTCTCACAGGAGGACATCCTGCCCCCCACTACCCCTACCCAGCCCTATCCCTCCCTGGGACAGACCCCTAACACCCCAAGTCAGGAACCACTTCAACCCATCTCGACCTCCAGTGTCTCCTCTCTCGATACTGACCACCCTGGATCAACCACCCAGGAAAGAAAAGAGGGGGATTCAGAGGGAAAGAGTGAAAGAAAGAGCGAAAGAAAACTCTCGGGTGGTAGTGGTGCAGCCCTTGGTCCCAGTAAACAGTCCAAAAGCCTGTCTTCATGGAGGTCCTCCTTGAAGGGTGGGTCTGGGTCAGGAGGGGTGAGGGGGAAGATGGGAGGGTCAGCGGTTGACATGTCGACTGTCACCAGGGGCAACTGGCTGATGAACGGCTTGTCATCCTTCCATAATCACCGACGGCCTGCTTCGACCGGCAAACGACTCAAAGAGTCCTCGCTTTCCCTGACAGAGACACATAAAGACTCTCTGCCAGACTCCTATACTGGGTCCTCTTTGTCTTTAAAATACTCTTCACACTCTCAAAGAAGCTCGCTAAAAGACTCATCTCCTTTACATATAGACTCTTCCTGTTCTAGTATAGACTCCTTTCCCAATATAAAGCCCTCCGTCTCTGTCAGAAACTCCTCCCATTCCAACAGGCTCTCGACCTATGACAACGTTACTATCACTCCCTGCAGTCTGAGCTTGCCCGATGGAAGCCCCTCCCCCTGGACCTCCTGTGAGATCTCATTGGCTGAATCTACAGGAACTGAGCGTACCACACTGAACTCTGGGTTAGGGTCCGGGCAGGCTGTGGCGGGGTCCTCGGTGGCTGGGGGCAGTAGCTCTGCTCTGGAGCTGTGTGTGAGCAGCGCTGGCTGCAGCAAGGGTGACCCTGGAGATGACATCACAGGTCTGAGGTCAGGGGTCAACAAGGGTCTGTTTAGCCTGGTGACGGAGCTGAAGGAAGAGCTGAGGAGACAGAGGTTCAGCTATGAGACACGAATACGCAAGTAAGAACTAACTTCTTGTTCTTGTTGCAATGGTATTGGTACAGTATGTTGTGGTGTGTGTGCCTATGCGCACATAATATAATATATGTCATTTAGCAAACACTTTTATCCAAAGCGACTTACAGTCATGCATGCATACATTTTACATATGGGTGGTCTCAGGAATCAAACTCACTATCCTGGCGATGCTCTACCAACTGAGCTACAGAGGACTTTATGTGTGTGTGCACATCCATGCGTGTCTGCTGTACTCGCTAACCCTCTCTCTCTTCTCTCCTTCTTCCCAGATTGGAGGAGTCATGTTCAGGTCTTCGTCTCCAGTCTGGTCGTTTAGAAGAGGATCTTAACCAGGAGAAGAAGAGGTTCCGCATGCTGGAGATCCGACTGGGGAACTCAGAACGCGCAAGGCAGGATGCAGAGACTCGGAATGTTCTCCTGCAGAAAGAGATGGAAGAGTTCTTTGCTACACTGGGAGACCTGACCACTGGCACACATACCAGCTAGACCTGAGCAGACAGTGTCAGCCCACCGAGCTAAAGGCTTTCACTATGGGAGCTAACACAGGTCAGGTCTCAGGCGAGGTTACCCATCAAGTGAGTTTAATTCTTCTACACTCAGACAAAATTGAAGAAAAGGAAGAAAAAGCCTTAAATTAAACAGGAAAGTACTATCTGAGCTTTGAAATGCTATATTTTATGTCCGTTGCAAAATGTTTTGCTACTGTGTGCTCTAATGAACACGACCTAAGTGTCTCTCCGCCTGTGCATTAGGACTAGGCTTAATATGTGTCCACTAAACCGGCCCCTGGAGTATTCATTCAGAGGTTGCTCAAGACTGTTGTGATACAGCCCATATGTCCATGTTGTCATTATATGGTACAGAAGGGGTTTTATGTTTTTCTTATCTGAAGTCTACTGCTGTCTATCACTCTGTATGCATCGTCATTCTTAGTAACTGTGGGCCATTTTCCCAGAAACAGATTAGGTCTAGTCCTGGACTATAAAGCACTTTCAATGGAGATGGCCCATTTAGTTTTTTAGTTCAGGACCGATCGTGCTTTGTCGGCTATGCAATTTTTAAAGGTAATTTTCCTGCGTTTGTGGAGACTGTATTCATGGTAAATGCTGCATATGTCGGGTAAATCAGAATTTACCTTTAAATGTCAAGCGCGTTATAACGCGGATCTACCGCTGATAGGATTGAATCCCTGCCTTTATCTTTGTCTGGGAAACCACCCCTGTGTGTGCTAGACTGTTAGTGATCTCTTTAAAGATGGACCTCTAAATGGTTAAATGTGATACTTACTGAACTCAGGTGTTCTAAACATTCTGGTCAGAGAGATGCTGTATCTCTATTCCCGTACATGAATACTCTTCTGAAACAGACTACTTTTACCACGCCATGGTTTCACCACATCACAAAACATTTTTGGTGACTGTTGTTTCTGATTTAAGAAATGGGCCTTGTTTATCATAGCGATATCAGGTACATGTCCCAAAACTGACCAGACTCTAGTGAAAGCCTCTGAGTATTTGTCATTATAAACTAATGTCCTTACAAGAAGTATGCGTTGAGAATAAAAACAATTCAAACAGAATCAAATTCAACCCTTTATTTGCAGGAGTTGCAGGTTGACATTGACCGACTGTTTCCAGTGTGTACCTTAGGTCTGTAGTAAGGCCTTGTCCAGATCAAAAGGCTAACATTTATACAACCGGCCTTTGTGGAAAACACCACGAAACCTGGATTGCGTTCAAGAGGGTGAAACGTTCTATGTGGATTCCATTAATAAGAACTGAGATGATTCCATATCTATTTAAACGTTCCATAACGTTGTACCCTCCTGAATGCAGCCTTGTGTCTGGTGTGCGATAGGCCTGACCACAGCCAGGGATGGGGTCCAGGTCCAAACATAAACAGGGCCTATAGGGATTGAACGGCGAGGAGCCATCAAATACCTTTGAATCTAGAAAAAGGAAAACATGGCTGGCAGCAAATCTTTTAAAACCCCTGGAGAACATCCATCTAACATACAAATAAACCACTCACTACCTACTCTATAGTCTACAAATCACATTGCAAAAAATAAATGTTCAGACATAGTACTTTTGAATTAAATATACATTACATACAATACTAGCAGTCTTCTAACATTGACAAAGGTACATGTTCAAATAAATAAATAAAACTAAAACTTTCACATTGTTTTTTTAGACCATATGCTGTGGACTGTTATGTCATTCAGAAACTCATCTAGGTGAGGTAGTCAATAAAAACCAAGTTCTCTAACAGAGACGGCACAGAGAGAGGCGCTAACGCTAACTAAACACTGAGTGCCTCTACAGCAGAGAGAAATATAGTTGGGTTAAAAACAGACAACTCAGGGATTTTCTTAAGAGATGGGACAATCTCAACTTTCTTTTCACAAATATTTTTCTTAATATTAACAACATTTGAAATATATATTTTCAAAGACCGTCCTGACAGGTTGCATTAAGGCCTGGTATGGGAATTGCTCCATCCACGACCGCAAGGCCCTCCAGCGGGTGGTGAGGACGGCCCAGTACATCACTGGGACCGTGCTCCCACCCATCCAGGACATCTACTCGAAACAGTGCCTGAGGAAGGCCTGCAGCATCATCATCAAGGACCCCACACACCCCAGCCACGAGCTGTTCACTGCCGTACCGTCGGGCAGACGGTATCGGAGCATGATGTCTGATATCAACAGGCTCAGAGACCGTTTCTATCTACAAGCAATCTGCTGACTGCTGAACACTTGAACTGGACTGACCACCTTCATTGACTCTCCGCATTTTAGCACACATGCACTCACTTATGCACACACCCACACAGATAAACACACACACACACACAAACACACACACACACACACACACACACACACACATCACAACTGCTGCTACCAGACTTATTATGATTGCTAAATACTTCACAATTTAAACACTTGACCCCTAATCCCCCATTCCCCAAAACACATGTAAATATTGGACTATAAATTGTGCCTTCCTGTTTTATACTTATGCTCAAATGTTTATTATATTCTACTGAGCCATTTACTTTATGTTCGTATTCTTATCTTTTATTATTTCTAATTGTTGTTGCATTGTCGAGAAAAAACCTGCAAGTAAGCATTTCATTGGACGGTGTATACCATGTGTATCCCAAACCTCATAATTCAACAACAACAAAAAATCATAAAATGAAACTAACTGGATTTACAGTATGTCAACCCCGTCAAGACACCATAAAAAGCATTTCATTTTTTACATTTATTGTCCAACAAGTCTTTAAAAGCATTGATTGTTTAATTCTAACAGTAGATTATAGAAATATGTAATACAAATATCGAAACTTATTTTTGTTTTATTTTATAGCGCTATACTGTATAATGTTCCAGGGAAAATTTTGTTAGCATTTTGGCATGTTTTTCTAGATTCAGAATATAAAACAACATTTATAAAGCAAACATTATCCCTTAGATCTAGCACAACAAATTGCCAATAGTTTAACCATATGTTGCAGAACAGTGATACATATATATTTTCAGAATATTGACAAAATATTGATCTTAGCCATCAGTGACGGAGTTGACAAGCCACTGACGGAGTTGACAAAACAGACACATTTTTGCCTCTAAAAATAAAATGTCAATACAAACATTTGTAAAATATAGAAAATGATTTATTTGAAAATTCCCAATAAAAATATAACCATTCTATCATATATTTCAGCACTCTGACGGAGTTGACGTTAGACAAAAATCTGACGGAGTTTGATTTCAATATTGTTTGTTTAAATCTATCAAAAGTAGATAACTTTGCAGACCATGAGTGGTCTTGTTGCACTATATGTAATGAGGACATTAAGAAGTGGTCCATTAGGTGTAGCTGACCCGGATCATTCCTGATTAAGTTATGATTGTAGACAAATCTGACGGAGTTCACTAAATCTCCTGACAAATTTTTTAGGAATCACAGTTTTGAGATAAATATTCTTTAAAGTCAGATAGGTCTATTGCAAGAAACTACCTAAGATCCCTTTTCAGTTAATATTCATTATTGCCCGTCTTTTTAATTTTAAACACTTTTTTGGAGAGTTTGAAATTGGCACCCTTCGCTCCAGGCAAGGGCATTTCTGGGCATAGAGCATAAATTCCAAAAGCAAATCTTTCCCCTTATAAAATTCCCCTAAATTTAATTTTTAATCTCAAATAATGCAACAAAATAAAGTATAAAAATAAAGTTTCTCTGCCGGTCAAGGATTTTCCCGACATTCAAGAATCCCTGAACTGTAAGAGCACTTAAATCAAATCAATGGGGCTGGGAGTTTTTCCTGGTCATGTGACCTGAGGAAAGACTCCTGTTCCCACCAATAAAACATAAGCAGCCTTCGTCCCTTCCCCTTGGCCCCAACCCTTTGATGTTTAGAGACCTGTACAGGTGTTTATACCTTCAGATCTGCAAACATTGAAGGGTTAGAGCCAAGTGGGATGGGCAACTTGTGGAAGAAGTAAACCAACAAAGATGGGAAAGTGACAAAGGTATTTGGGCCAGGTGCTTTAATGCCCCCCTCCATGCTCCCCTATCTGTTCATTAACATTCTATAACAATGCTCTCTCCAGATCCAACACCTGGAAACGTTATAATCAAGTCAAATAATAAATAAATACAACAAAAGAGATGTTCTAGTGCAGAAATGAATTTTGTAGCCATGACTACAGAACACTACAGCTATGGGTGGGCAGTAACAAGGCATTGAAATATGTTCAATGGTTTTTAGAATCCATATAAATAGAGATGAATGCTAAATACGTAAGGAATAATCAACGAGGGGCTATGCGTTCTCTGGAAAATAATGAACGACGTGGAAGGTGTGTTCCACGACACACTAGCAGAGTGGAACTAACCTTCCACAGAGTTGCATTATTTTCCAGAGAACGCATAGAGCCCCGAGTTGATTATCCCTTTTATACCATGGCTATAATTTAACACATTTACCGCTAGAAATGTGTTCAACATGCACTGAAGTAGCTAGCAAGTTTACTAGATAGCTACAGTAGTTGCATTGGTAACCAAGAAAACAGACTTGCTAGTTTAGCTAACCAAACCATCAGTCCTAGCTTGCTATTATGAGAATCGAATTCAACAATGCCAATAATGTTTTCAATTCGACTTCTGCTTTCAAAAGCAGCTCAAACATAGAACATGTAAGAATTAACTATAGCCATTGAATTCTACCGTGCAAATATACGGTGCGTTATAGGGAAATAATAGAATGCCGTTCAAGCCAATCAGAAACTAGTATTCAACAATGCCATGGTATAATAGAAAATAAATATGTTTGTAAGAAAACACTTTCTAATAGGGAAAAGGGGAAAATGTTCCATCCACTGGGAGATTTGAACCACTATCATTTACAGCATATACATACACAGCTTGGAGGGACAGAAGCTGACACAAGAAAATAAATAAATATAGTAATTTACAGCAAGTACACAATCGGCAATGCATGATATAGGGGACATAGCATTTAAAAGAATCTGTACAGTTAAAAAATAAAAACGTTTTTCTTTACTACGGACACTTAAAAGGGCAATCTGCAGTTCAAACAACAACAAAGCAGTAACCCCACCACTGTTTTTGGTAAACAGCTTAGGGTTGGGGCTAGAGAAATGTAACCGCTCTGAAATTCATAGACAAAGCTATGGATGCAAGGACTAACCATCCATGATACAGTATCAAAAGTATAATTTTAACCATGTTTTGAGGATATACAGTGTTTGTTTACAATTACATTGTTTACAAACAATGGAGTAAAATCATTTATATATTTTATTCTTCAAGAATCAATTGGTATATATCATTCATTGAAATTTTAAACATAATTATGTAGCAATCGCAGATTGCCCCATTAAGTGTTTCAAACTATATACCATGACAGGAGGTGTAGGGCTGGGGCTGAGTGTGTGTGTGTGTGTGTTATCTGCAGCAGGCCAGTGCTCCCAGAGAGGTGTGGCTGTCCAGGCTGCTGTCCGTGTCAGAGGTCATGGTAGGTTCACTAGGGTCACTGGGGTCAGTCGACATGGAGGATACGTCATTGGCCGAGGAGGAGGACGAGGCGTGCTGAGGGGAGCTGTCGATCACTGCTGCACCTGTGCTGCAAAAAACACACAGGATGACTGATACACCTGTACTAGGCACTAGCATGCGCAAACACACACATATACAAACAGACAAACACACACACATACCTGCGAGATACACACATAACTCACACACACCATAGGGAGCCGGAAGAACATCTCTGAGTCTGTGAGGGGTGCAGCGACCCCCCCCCCCCCCCCCAGAGCAACCTACAACATTATTCACCTCCCTCCTATGAGTCAGCTGTGCATGCTCTCTTTCAGTAACAGCAACTTTAGAAACTGTTCATACTTATTATTATTCCACTGGAACCTCTAGCGCCAAAACCTTAAACGCTACCAACACCAAAACAACTCTAAAAATGTCCAGACTGCCACTAGTCAGGTTACTTGAAAACAACGTTTTGATAATATTTGCATAATTCCCAATGCATTTGAATGGCCCTAAACTTTAAATGGGACAAATTTCCACCGTAACTAGTCTTACAATGTTTAAGCTAGAAACACCATTCAAACTTTAAAACGTGCAGACTGGTCCCGAATAGTGTGCTTTTTAAAACCTTTTTTGAACTATAACCATTTTAATCGTGCATAAAATCTCTATACGCTTGAATGGGAAGTATTTGGATTTGCCACTGCTTTGAACTGTTAAAGCTACCAACTATATAACAACTGTAAAACGTGCAGACTGGTACTGGTACTGTTGCATGATTATAATTTTTTATATACTAGTTATACTTTTCACACTACAACCATATTTGCATATATCCCTATGCATTTCTGGGGCCATAGATTTGAATGGGAAAATGTCTGGTCTCTACCGTTTAAGCTAAAAATACCATTCAAACTAAAACATGCAGACCAGTCTAGAATAGTGTGCTTGTATACAGCTTTTTGATACCATTTATACTTTTTGAACTAGACCAACATTGAAATGTACAGACGGACTCAACTTCGATTGCTTGTCAAAAGATTGTTGATGCTTTTTGTACTTTTTGAACTATAACTGTTAAACCTTTGCATAAAAGCTTAACCCTTTACACTCGTGGTAATTGCACTATATGGATAGGGCTAAATTGAAATGAACCATGGTAACAATTAAAAGGGAACAGTTTGGAGATTATGGGAAAATTATTAGACCACAGGTGTGTACACAACAGTTCACCTGACACAAGACTGAATCCAAACATTACACTGTTGATTTTATGTGGATTTTACATTTACTGTACTTTCGCCACATTTGTTGATAACGAAATCTGAAAATACTCTGGATACATTCAGTAACATGATAAACATATTTTTAGAACTTTTGGGGTAGGTGCAACATAAGACAAAGAAATGACAAGGGTTGGAGTGAGAGGACTAACTGGTGTCTCGAAAGTGTGCACAGTTCTTAAGTAACTTCAATGCACTTTTATGACTCAAAGAAGAGTCTGTGCCGTTGAGGAACTAGAGCAAGCACACTTGTAGTTGCTTTGTTTGGAACACAGCCCTGCGTCCCACCATCACACAATTACTGTTGTTGTTTACGCAATCCAAAAACGGTCCATTATAAATCGCAATCTGGGTCAGGTCGGCATCATTTGAAAGCTTGTTCTATTGCCAACATGACTAGCTAAATGATAAAATATGATCTTACAGTGTTAGGCTTTCACAAGGCAATTCAGAGAAGCAGATCGCAATATTGGTGTGCATAGAATGGCGTCATGAGTACATTCAGATGCGTGATCCGTGGCAAATTTTCTTCACAATAAAACAAACATAGGCTCATTCTGTTCAGGACAACCCAGGGTATGACACAATGTCATCTTGTAACTGTACATCAAACATAGTGATCATAAACGTTGACACTGTATATGACATGAGTTTTATGATATGGAAATGTGAAGAGCACATTTGGACTCACAGGTGTTTGGCTTGCTTGTATGACTTGAAAGCGGTATTTATTATAATCCTCAACGTCTCATCTTTCAAAATACATTGAGTCCTCTTAATTTACAGTATTTGCCTCACTCAGACAACAGAACATTTGCAAAAGTTGTCCAATTACTGGGAGGAATGGGGGCAACTTATTGTCGGGTGCAGTGCTCAAGTTCAGAACGTCTGTCAGTCAAAACCCATTCAAAGCTGTGAAGCAGACATTGAGCTCTGACATCATGTATAGCACGTTACTGTACAGCCACTGCGTTCCAATTTAGGTGCTTATCAGTGTCCAAATCTGCCATTTTCAACCCGTATATACGGGTATGAGTGTAAAGGGCTACATAAAGAACGTTTTGATTCACCACTGCTCTTGGTCCATTTCAGCTACAAACACCACCCCAACGTTGGCATGTGCAGACAGACTCAACTTAGATGGCTTCAACACAGCTTTTTGCTATCATTCCTACTTCATAAACTATAAAGCTTGTTGTATCCCCATTCATTTCAATGGCGGATTGCAGGCTTAAACATTCTAAACTGTAAACAGTGCCACAAATCTTTCAGAATGTTCTAACTAAAACATTTTGAGTGCTTAAAAACGCATATGGCTTATGATGATATAGTACTGACTCTAGCCTACTATACTAGCCCACTATAACCCACTATAATAACGTCACACCTACAAACCACCCCAAAATAGGTCAATATAACTAACACATAGCCTATATGAAATCCCTATTACTACCATTACTAATACTACCATTACTACTGCCATTACTTTTGTGGTCCTCTGTAGCTCAGCTGGTAGAGCACGGCGCTTGTAACGCAAAGGTAGTGGGTTCAATCCCCGGGACCACCCATACACAAAAATGTATGCACGCATGACTGTAAGTCGCTTTGGATAAAAGCGTCTGCTAAATGGCATATTATTATTACTGCCGTTGCTACCACTACCACTTATACTACTCTTTCCCAACCATAAATACTTCAAGACTAGCAAGCACACCACATTTACTTCAGTAAATTGACTTTTCTAATTTTTTTTTGCTTTCTGGGGGGGTTGTGAAGTTTTTTATTTGGCACAGGGGAGAGTAGTGTGTTTTTTCCCTGGCTTGCTACCGGGACGGCGGGCCATGGCATTCAAAAATATATATATTTCCCCCCTTTGCACACGGGATGGGTAATCAATAAACTCAGCACAGACCAGTCTGCGAGCCAGTAGCGCATCTCTGACTCCCTGAAGCATCTTTGTTAAAAAAATCACACCCACAACACGAGCTGATTGGATGGATTGGACGTGAAAATTCTGACAGTAGCCTCCTAAACCTTTCAGCGCAACTGCCAGAGCATTGTAGTTACAGTGGCAGGCTAGCCTACATGGACATGATATGCAATTTCCAAAAACATGAATGTGACACACGAGTCATTGAATAATTGCCATTTTAGCCAGGATTTACATGAGAAGTTTGAACAGAAGTGAGGCGAGTAAATTGCCTATGGTCTAATAACTAGCCCCCCCAAAAAGCCCCTTCTTTCTTTAGCCAGCTAGCATCAGGGATCCAATAATGGTAAGTTGAAATGGTTTTAGTATTCTCCCAAGTGAAGCTTGCTTGCCTATGAAATCAGAAGAAATCCCAATTATTATTATATTATTTCAAGTTAATTCAATGACGGGGAAGGGAAAAGCATGTACAAGGGGAGGGTCATGTGAAAATATGTTTTACGTTGGGGCGTGGGGTGCATTTTATTAATATTCGTAAGGTCTCTTACCATAAACAATGTTTTAATCCATGTTTTTTTTCAGAATGAAATGTACAGATTTAGTCAACAATAACACAATAACAGCAGACACCAGCTCACATAAGTAAAATACAAAGTGTTAACTAACTAACCTAAAAGAGGAGGCTGTCCTCTGATCACGCCATTCTGCTTGGTCCACTCGTCCCACTCATACACCTCCTTCCAGATCAGGTCTACAACAGGGTGAATACAGCGAGCAATAGACAGAGACAGAGACAGAGACAGAGACAGAGACAGAGACAGAGACAGAGACAGAGACAGAGAGAGAGAGAGAGAGAGAGAGAGAGAGAGAGAGAGAGAGAGAGAGAGAGAGAGAGAGAGAGAGAGCGGAGACAAGGATAGAGAGACAACAAAGGAGGGAGAAGAGACAGTTGAGAGAGGAGGAAAGAAGGAGAGAGAAAAAAGAGAAGACTACATGTCACTTGTCTGATAACATTTGCCCTCATGACAAGTAACAAAATACAGAAATCACCACAGGATAAAGATGATAAACACCCATTGGGGAGTCAGTATCAGTATGACCTCATCCTATTGGATCCTGAGCACAGCTAATTTCCTTTAATTCTACACGTTTTGCCATCAAATCAAATCAAATGTTATTCGTCACATGCTTCGTAAACAACAGGTGTAGACTAACAATGAACTGCTTACAATGCAGAGAGAAAGAAAATAGAGAAAAAATAGAAAAGTAATAACACGTAATAATAAAAGTAATAATAAATACACAATGAGTAACGATAACTTGGCTACAGTATATACACGGGGTACCAGTACCGAGTCGATGTGCAGGGGTATGAGGTAATTGAGGTAGATGTTTATTATCTATGCATAGTCACTATACCCCTACCTACATGTACAAATTACCTCGAGTAAACTGTACCCCCACACATTGACAACCGGTACCCCCTGTATATAGCCTTGTTATTGTTATTTTATTGTGTTACTTTTTATTTAATTTTTTACTTTTGTTTATTTAGTAAATATTTGTTTAACTCTATTTCTTGAACTGCATTGTTGGTTAAGGGCTCGCAAGTAAGCATTTCACAGTACAACTACACCTGTTGTATTCAGCGCATGTGACAAATACAATTTGATTTGATTTGATTTGAGATATGTACATATACCCAGGAATAAAGTGACTAGGCAACAGGATAGATAATAAACAGTAGCGGCAGTATGTGATGAGTAGGGCCATGATATTTTGAAAAAAATAAATGACCCCCCATTTATATCATCTGACCTCAAGAGGCCGATATAGCACCTTCTCACACCATGTGTGAATTAATTGTCACGTGTGCATACCATGAACGTCTCCCGTATTAATCCAATTAGTCCAAAATAAATTCACAACCATGTGGATTGACTTCAAATGAAATGTTTGCTGACAATTATTCTCTAAGCTTTAGCCTAATGCACCAAATTATTAGCCTATCTTAAGGACATTATCAACATAAATATTTAACTTATTAATTGTCTGTTATCAACATTATATGGGAATAATAGGAATTTTCGCTATAGAAATAAAAATGTAAACGCTCAATCCTAAAATGTGCGCATTCATTAACACATATGTAATGAACGGAGGAGCAGTCTTGTAAAAAAAAAACTGAAAGCATCTCCAAAATAACGGACGAATCCACAGCCACACAAGACCAATATGATCTTCATATTTTGTAGGAGAGCTGGGTGACGACGCTAAAGTTGTTCTGGCTGATACAGTGTATTTACAGGCAGTGAACTATTCAACAGTGTCAGAATATAATTCCAAGTACCTACGCTGTTATGCACCCTTTGTGGAGGCGGACAAGCGTATCTCTCGAAACAGTGCGGTCTTAATAGAGTTGGAGAAGTTGTTGGGTTGTTATTTCTATAGCCAAAGAAAATAGGCTAGCCATTTATGGTCTTATAATCTAATGATAACTTGCAGGTTTTGCAGAATATATTGTTGTCTGCAAAGAGCGTTCCAGCGGGGTATTGGCGCAGTGATTTTGAATTGTTTATGTTTTCTGGTTGGATTCATAGTCTCTCCCTTTTATCTGTCCTAATTGCCCCATTTTTACAACCTCCGATGATCAGGGATTGAGTCTGTGTGAAAGGATCAGCTTGAGCAAAGTGAGGAGTAGAATCACTGATCTACAAATAGTATTCCCTACCAAATAATAGCATTTGTGCAATTAAGATTCATATGCTATGCCTCCCCTGGTTTAGGCGATCCCCCCACCAAACACTCACGCACAACCAGACATTGAATGGTTGATTGGAGACAGCTTGTGTCAATTAAATAACATTTCCTAGGATTTTCCTAGGATTTTAAAACCCAGTGGTGATGTTTTTTGCCATACCAAGCGGTGATGTAGCCAGTCAAGAGGCTCTCAACGGTGCAGCTGTATAACTTTTTGAGGATCTGAGGGCCCATGCCAAAACTTTTCAGCCTCCTGAAGGGGAAGATACATTATCGTGCCCTCTTCACGACTTTGTTGGTGTGTGTGGACCATGATAGATCCTTAGTGATGTGGACACCAAGGAACTAGAATGTCTCGGCCCACTCCACTACAACCCGTCGATTTCATTGGGGGCGTGCTCGGCCCTCTGTTTCCTGTAGTCCACGATCAGCTCCTTTGTCTTCCTGACGTTGAGGGAGAGGTTGTTGTCCTGGCACCACACTGCCAGGTCTCTGACCTCCTCCCTATAGGCTGTTTCATCGTCGTCGGTACTCAGGCCTACCACCATCGTGTCGTCAGCAAACCTAATGATGGTGTTGGAGTCATGTGCGGCCACGCAGTTGTGGTTGAAAATCGAGTACAAGAGGGAACTAAGCACGCACCCCTGAGGGGCCCCCGTGTTGAGGGTCAGCGTGGCGGATGTGTTGTTGCCTAGCCTCACCACCTGGGGGCGGCCCATCATGAAGTCCAGGATCCAGTTGCAGAGGGAGGTGTTCAGTCCCAGGGTCCTTAGCTTAGTGATGAGCTCGGAAGGCACTATGGTGTTGAACAGCATTCTTACATACAGTTGAAGTCGGAAGTTTACATACACTTAGGTTGGAGTCATTAAAACTTGTTTTTCAACCACTCCACAAATGTCTTGTTAACAAACTATAGTTTTGGCAAGTCGGTTAGGACATCTACTTTGTGCATGACACAAGTAATTGTTCCAAGAATTGTTTACAGACAGATTATTTCACTTATAAATCACTGTATCACAATTCCAGTGGGTCAGAAGTTTACATACACTAAGTTGACTGTGCCTTTAAAAAGCTTGGAAAATTCCAGGAAATTATGTCATGGCTTTAGAAGCTTCTGATAGGCTAATTGACATCATTTGAGTCAATTGGAGGTCTACCTGTGGATGTATTTCAAGGCCTACCTTCAAACTCATTGCCTCTTTGCTTGACGTCATGGGAAAATCAAAAGAAATCAGCCAAGACCTCAGAAAAAGAATTGTAGACATCCACAAGTCTGGTTCATCCTTGGGAGCAATTTCCAAATGACTGAAGGTACCACGTTCATCTGTACAAACAATAGTACGCAACTATAAACACCATGGGACCACGCAGCCGTCATACCGCTCAGGAAGGAGACGTGTTCTGTCTCATAGAGATAAATGTACTTTGGTACGAAAAGTGCAAATCAATCCCAGAACAACAGCAAAGGACCTTGTGAAGATGCTGGTACAAAAGTAACTATATCCACAGTAAAACGAGTCCTATATCAACATAACCTGAAAGGCCGCTCAGCAAGGAAGAAGCCATTGCTCCAAAACCGGTTTGCAACTGCACATGGGACAAAGATCGTACTTTTTGGAGAAATGTCCTCTGGTCTGATGAAACAAAAATATAACTGTTTGGCCATAATGACCATCGTTATGTTTGGAGGAAAAAGTGGGTGGCTTGCAAGCTGAAGAACACAATCCCAACCGCGAAGCACGGGGATGGCAGCATCATGCTGTGGGGGTGCTTTGCTGCAGGAGGGACTGGTGCACTTCACAAAACAGATGGCATCATGAGGAAGGAACATTATGTGGATATATTGAAGCAACATCTCAAGACATCAGTCAGGAAGTTAAAGCTTGGTCGCAAATGGATCTTGACCTTAAGCATACTTCCAAAGTTGTGGCAAAATGGCTTAAGGACAACAAAGTCAAGGTATTGGAGTGGCCATCACAAAACCCTGACCTCAATCCTATAGAATATTTGTGGGCAGAACTGAAAAAGCGTGTGCGAGCAAGGAGGCCTACAAACCTGACTCAGTTACACCAGCTCTGTCAGGAGGAATGGGCCAACATTCACCCAACTTATTGTGGGAAGCTTGTGGAAGGCTACCCGAAATGTTTGACCCAAGTTAAACAATTAAAGGCAATGCTACCACTAATTGAGTGTAGCATTCTGACCGAATGGGAATGTGATGAAAGAAATAAAAGCTGAAATAAATAATTATCTCTACTATTATTCTGACATTTCACATTCTTAAAATAAAGTGGTGATCCTAACTGACCTAAGAGAGGGAATCTTTACTAGGATTAAATGTCAGGAATTGTGAAAAACTGAGTTTAAATGTATTTGGCTAAGGTGTATGTAAACTTCCGACTTCAACTGTAGGTGTTAATCTTGTCCAGGTGGGAGAGGGCAGTGTGGAGTGCAATAGAGATTGTGTCATCTGTGGATCTGTTGGGGTGGTATGTGAATTGGAGTGGGACCAGGGTGTCTGGGATGATGTTGTTGATGTGAGCCATGACCAGCCTTTCAAAGCATTTCATGGCTACAGATGTAAGTGCTACAGGGCGATAGTCAATTAGACAGGTTACGTTGGCCTTATTGTGCACAGAGACTATGGTGGTCTGCTTGTAACATGTAGATATTACAGACAGGGTCAGAGAGGTTAAAATGTCAGCTGGTCAGCGCATGCTCTGTATGCGTTCTGGTAATCCATCTGTGAATGTTAACCTGTATAAAGGTCTTACTCACATCGGCTACGGAGAGCGTGATCACACAGTCGTCCGGAACAGCTGGTGCTCTCATGCAGGTTCAGTGTTGCTTGCCTCGAAGCGAGCATAGAAGGAATTTAGTTTGTCTGGAGGCTTGCGTCACTGGGCAACTCGCGGCTGGGTCTCCCTTTGTAATCCGTGATAGTTCGCAAGCCCTGCCACATCCGACGAGCATCAGAGCCGGCATAGTAGGATTCGATCTTAGTCCTGTATTCATGCTTTGCCTGTTTGATGGCTTGTCAGAGGTCGTAGCAGGATTTCTTCTTAGCGTCCTGATTAGTGTCCTGCTCCTTGAAAGCGGCAGCTCTAGCCTTTAGCTCAGTGCGGATGTTGCCTGTAATCCTTGGCTTCTGGTTGGGATATTTACATACGGTCACTGTTGGGACGACACCATCAATTCACTTATTAATGAAGCCGGTGACTGATGTGGTTAACTCCTCAATGCCATTGGATGAATCCCGGAACATATTCCAGTCTGTGTTAGCGAAACAGTCCTGTAGCTTAGCATCCGCTTCATCAGACCTTCCTGTTTTGAGTTTTCCTGTGTTGAGTACTTAACTGGTACTTCCAGTTTGAGTTTTTACTTGTAAGCAGGAATCAGGAGGATAGCGTTATGGTCAGATTTGCCAAATAGAGGGCGAGGGAGAGCTTTGTATGCATTTCTGTGTGCGGAATAAAGGTGATCTAGAGTTTTGTCTCTAGTTGCACAGTTGACATGTTGGTAGAAATTAGGTCAAACAGATTTCAGTTTCCTTGCATTAAAATCACCGGCCACTAGGAGCGCCACCTCCGGATGAGCATTTTCTTGTTTGCTTATGGTCCTATACAGCTCGTTGACTGCGGTCTAAGTGACAGAATCGGTTTGGGGCAAAGAGGAAATGGAGCAAAGAGAAAAATGTGCAGTTTTATAGCTAATCTCATGCTATTCTACACATTTTGCCAATAGGCTGAGAGAAAATGTTGCATTTTTAAAGCGAATTAAACAAAGAAATATAGGTGTGTTGACTGTGATAAAGGCACTGGATTATGAGCTGTCTTGTTTGCTAAATGAACAAATTAAGTATGCAGTGGCATGGTGCATACAGCCATAGAAGCACAGTGACATATGCATCAATGCGGTCATATTTGTGGCTTATTGGGGGTGTGGCTTTTAGTTATTTTTGGCCAACCATCCCATGAAAGTGAATGTCATTCCAGTTCATCTGAATGTCATTCCATTGCACTGCTATGAATTCTAGCTGATGGTGTTTGCATGTTTAGATAGAAATACAAATAATATCCCGTTTGGAACACTGACAAGTAGAGAGCATAATACAGTGTATTCAGACCCCTTGACTTTTTCCACATGTTGTTACGTTACAGCCTTATTCTAAAATGGATTAAATAAATAAAATCCTCATCAATCTACTCACAATACCCCATAATGACGAAGCGAAAACCGTTTTTTTGGTGCAAATGTATAAAAAATAAAAAACAGAAATACCTTATTTACGTAAGTATTCAGACCCTTTGCTATGAGACTCGAAATTGAGCTCAAGTGCATCCTGTTTCCATTGATCATCCTTGAGATGTTTCTACAACTTGATTGGAGTCCACCTGTGGTAAATTCAATTGATTGGACATGATTTGGAAAGGCACACACCTGTCTATATAAGGTCCCACAGTTGACAGTGCAAGTCAGAGCAAAAACCAAGCCATGAGGTGGAAGGAATATATACACACACAATTATGCTCTCTACTGGTCAGTGTTCCAAACGGGACATTATTTGTATTTTTACCTAAACATGCAAACCCCGTCAGATAGAATTCATTGCAAGCAGTGCACTGGAATGACATTCAGATAAACTGGAATGACATTCTCTTTCATGGGATGGTTGGCTAAAAACAAAAAATGTGTATATATATATGTTTTGGTTGCTCAATTTGATTGGGTGGGCCTGGCTCCCCAGTAGGTGTACACAAAGTGCTGTAATTTCTAAAAGGTTCACCCAATATGGATGAAAATACCCTAACATTAAAGCTGACAGTCTGCACTTGAACCGCATAGTCATTGTACCATTTCAAATCCAAAGTGCTGCAGTACAGAGCCAAAACAACAACAAAAATGTCACTGTCCCAATACTTTTGGAGCTCACTGTTTGTTTGTGACCCATGTCTAGTGAAAAGTGATAGTTGTAGTAACATCTTTAACCTTTCCACTCCTCCACCGTATGCTCTCGCTCATCCAGCTGCTTGTCTGTGATCTTCGGAGGGGGCTGAGACGAGAAAAAAAGCAAAAGAAAGAGAGGAAAAGAGCAGAAGGGAGAAGAGAGGGAAGAAAGGTTCATCCCTACATCAAACCATCAACCATAGTTCACTCTTCTGACTAAAAGTGTCAACCGTGTTGGTCCAATTTCCAAGTTCCCCCTCCAATAGATTGTACCATGTGTTAAACACTTACCGCCTCCACTTCTGCTGGGTCGTACCACACGTTGATATAGGGGTGTTTCAGGGCCTCGTCCACCGAGATCCTCTTAGACGAGTCGATCACCAACATCTTAGACAGCAGGTCTCTGGCCTGGCTCGCTGGAAGTGGAAAGATAATATAATTCATACCAGCACGCACACACACGCACACCACACACACACCCTACCCACACACAAACACACACACTCCATTTCCAGTACCTTTCAGTTTGTTGTGTTCTGAGTCTGCAGGGAAGAGGACGTCAGGGAAGAGTTTGTCAAAGCTGTATCCTGCGTAACACGGCCTGTTCTCTACGTACGTCCTCACTGATTGGTTGAGCTTCATCAGGAACTCCTGGGGCGGAGTCCCAAGCTGCTCTATCACCTTGTTCCACTGGTCAATGTCTGAGCAGGGGGAGTTAGGGAAACACTACACACAGACATAGCCTTCTCCACAGACACACATAACTATGTTAGAGAACTACTGTTCCAGAACTATTCCTGTTTTCTAGAACTATCTCTGTGTATTGGCAGAAGCTTAGGTGGTTATGGGCAGGGAGGATGGGAGTATGGGTGTATTTGGATATGGTGGGTATTGTAGTGGGTAGAGTGCAAAAGGAGTGCTCCACGGGGCGGTGGTTGATGGTAAAAACAAGGTAAAAACACACAAACATGGTGAAATGATAACACTGTAAAAGAGGAAAGGATACGGTCAGTGCCTGGGAACAACACACTACCTCTGACCATCTCAGCCACAATACAGCCCACTGACCACACGTCCACTGCACGATGAATGAAGGGATGACATTCAAACACAATGGAGAGAAAAAATGAAGAACAGATTAAGGAAATGAGAGAGGAATATGAATGAATTACAAAAAATTTACAACACAAATAATCAGACACATGAAACTGAAAATGGAAAGAGGGATACATCGGGTGAATGAAGGAGAAAAAGGAAAGTATGAATAAGTAAATTGGGTGAATGAGAGTGAAAATGGATGCGGCATGCAGCATCTGCCAGTCTCCAGGCACAGAGCCCTCTGTCACATGGGAAGGAAAAGGCAGGAAATCAGGACGTGAAATAAATGTCCATCTCGTAAACTGAGAGACTGAAGAGAAATGGCCCCATGGAGGAGGCAAACTGGTTTATTTCGGCAGGAGACGATTCACAGCCAAAAGCACCAAGGATACAGTCCCTTCCTGGGAACAGGATTTTGTGGCGGACCATTTCTGCCAGAATACACCCCACAGACCATATGTCCACTGTTACAACATAGACAGGAGAAGGGGTGGGGGGTTAGCTTTTAGTAGTTAGTAAAGAGACCATTGTTTCTCATTGTGCACAACTTTCCCAGAGGCTTGAAGAGAAGTGGATGGCTAGTGTACAAGCTGGCAAGAAAGCGGTGTTGTTATTGATGTTATTTCCATGATTAATAAAAAAAATTAAAACATAAATGTAATGAAAACAGTACTGTTATTGTTGTCATTAGCTAGGTCTACATCCAATTGGCGACAGATTTTCATGAGAATATAAAAAAATCTGCATAAAAACAATATGCGTATTTTCCTACCAGAGATGTGTTTCCATCAAATTGACTTAAAGTTAAATGGGTTTCCATATATATTTGTGCATGAAGGCATTTCCACCTCCACTTCTCGCATAATTGATTTTACAGACACAAAAAGATCCCACCTTGTCTAGCATATTTTGTTTTGTCGACATTTGGAAAGTTTACCAACAAATCTGCTGTTTCCAACAGGCCTTTCTTGATTGACAGGTACTGACCGTTGGCCTGGTAGCCCATCCCCAGTATGACCTCTGGTGCTCTGTAGTATCTGGTCACTACGTAGGGGGTCATCAGCAGACCTGTAGCCGCCGTCCGAGCCAAGCCAAAGTCCAAGATCTTCAACGTACAGTCTGACTTCACCACGATGTTACTGGGCTTTAGATCCTAGAGGAGGGACAAGGAGAGAACATCATCATTGTCATCATCATCATCATCATCAATAGCAGCAGCATATTTTAAGGCCCAGACACAGCGAATATTGTCTGTAGCCTGCGCAGTGTGTTCCAGAGCATTTTTTACTAAAAGATTATGGCAGACAATCCCGTCAGAGAGCATTATTGGCCGTCTTGGCAGTTTGTTTTAGATATTATAGTAAGGGAACAACATGCTCCCCAAACAATGAGAGAGGCAGATGGGGGACATCAGTGAAGCTATGTAGGGGTATAGGAATGTCGTCATCATAATATTATAAAACAGGGCATCATCCATATTCATCACCATCTTAACAACAGTAATGAGTCACTCCATTTTAACTACAGTTACTGAGTAGTGAGTCATCTTTCACAGATTTGCATGTACGCTAACGGCCTGGTCGTATGACATGCAAAGCAGTTACATTATTCTAGAATCTAGATTAATCTCAGAATGATCTCGGTGGTTATTTGGTTTTTTCCCATCCTTGTCTAAACTTTACATGCTCCATTGGGCCAAGCATGTATCCCAAATGGCACTCTATCACTCCCTATACATTGCACTTATTTGACCAGAGCCAGGAATAGGGTGCCATTTTGGACGCAATCCCAGTCATTAAAGCTGAATGAGTGTTTAGATCATTAGCAGGTTCCTCCTGCTCTCATCAAAGCTCTGACATGGGTTACTGTAAATCTGGGCTTTTAGCTTACAGTATTTTATTTGGAAATACAACAATGCCCCAGAAATTATATAATGAAGAGCTTTGCTACATTATTAGCTTAGTGTTACCCAGTATGAGCCATACCCTGTGTCTACCTGTTAGCTTAGTGTTAGCTGTGTCTACCTATTAGCTTAGTGTTAGCGGGTATGAACCATATCCTGTGTCTATCTATTCACTTAGAGTTAGCATGTATGAGCCATACCCTGTGTCTACCTGTTGACTTAGTGTTAGCGGGTGTGAACCATACCCTGTGTCTACCTGTTAGCTTAGTGTTAGCGGGTGTGAACCATATCCTGTGTCTACCTATTAGCTTAGAGTTAGCATGCATGAGCCATACCCTGTGTCTACCTGTTACCTTAGTGTTAGCGGGTGTGAACCATACCCTGTGTCTACCTGTTAGCTTAGTGTTAGCGGGTGTGAACCATACCCTGTGTCTACCTGATAGCTTAGTGTTAGCAGGTGTGAACCATATCCTGTGTCTACCTATTAGCTTAGAGTTAGCATTTATGAGCCATACCCAGTGTCTACCTGTTAGCTTAGCGTTAGTGTGTATGAGCCAGTATGAGCCGTACCCTGTGTATGATGCCGGCAGCGTGGAGGTGTTTGATGCCACACAGCATCTGGTAGAGCAGGTAGGACAACCTCTCATGGTCCAACTCCATCTGAATCACCTGACACAGGTTGGCATCCATCAGCTCCATCACAATGTATCTACACAGATAGGAAGAGAAATGAGAATACACACATGCTTGCGTGTACACATAAGTGTACACACACACACACACAAGCACAGACACACACAGGCGCAGACACACACACAAACCGAGCAGGCGCACACACCCGCATCTGTGGAGCCAGCTGGAAGGCTTAAACAGAGAGAGATACAGTATGCAGAGAGATTTCAGACAGTTATTCTGGTAATAGCTGAGTAATTCTTTCATTGATGACAGACAGGGCCAATTCAAAGATCATCCTATGATCCTCCTATGTCTTAATTCCTAACAGCATGTAATCATTTTACAATGTCAAAGGTTTATCATGTTATTATACATTTTACATTTTAGTCATTTAGCAGACGCTCTTATCCAGAGCGACTTACAGTTAGTGAGTGCATACATTTTTAAGGAGCATTTCCACTGAGGATTTACCCCAGTGTTTTACCCAAAAGGCTCAGACTTTTCTAATAATGTACTTACACATCTGCAAATTCTTCTAATGATTTTTGTGGGCTGAATACGTTTAATAGGCCAATGATCTGTAAAGGTAACAACATGAACACACGAGTCAAACAGGATGCTTGCTAGATTAGTTTCCTCAATATAAGGAAAACAGTCCTTCATCATAACACATGTTTGTAATCAAGTCATTTTCAAATGTATTATGCAATATAACAATACAAAATATCAAAACGGGTAACTGCAGTCCTGGAAGCTGGTTGAATTAATCTGCATTTTAGCTGTGTGTATATTCACTATATGGGCTACCAAAGCAAATGCCTGTTTACTGTTCCTTCTGAAGTACCATTATGCATTCATAAAATAATATTCTTACTGTTCCTTTCCTCTCTATGTCCAGCCAGGCCATTCATACACAAAATAGAGGATAACTGTCATAGAGTCATATCTAGAATATAATAAAACAGCAAGAAGAAGTAACTGACCAGTGATGGTAGGCAGACTTACATTTTTGTGATTGACACATTTCATTAACACCAGTTCTCTGTACGCTCTCTTGGCATGCGTCTGGTTCTGGAACGGCCGACTTAACTTCTTAATCGCCACATTTCTCTCGAGGTTGTGGTCATACGCTGAACTGAAAAAGCAAGACCAAGAGCATGACATACATTAACACATCCGTAACAATAGGGTGATACAGACTGTAGGAAATAGGAATTTAAATGGATGTCTGATTTGTGTTTATTTCATTGGATCTTTTACAGCATGTGACCTTGAAACATTCCATGGTCCATTGTGCCATTGATGGACCAGCTTTGGCATCAACCTCCATTGATTAAGCACCACAGTATTATGACAAATTCAAACTGGGGTACTTTGGTATGTAGCTTTACATTTTATGTTACCTTGGAAACTAATTGAATCTCAAATTAAAGTATTTCATGGGGCAACAAAAAAAGCTGAAAAACTCTAGCAAAAAGGATTTAAAAACAATACATGGCAACACTTTATTTTGTATCCCGTTGTTTACTGGTAATTACCTAGTACAACCCGCTGTTAAAACAGTAAGTAACTAGTATATGACAGGCAGAAAATATGAGGGCCACCACTTAGTAAATGAAAAATGTAGAAACATTTATTGTGGGGCTTACTTTTCCCCATCAAGGCAAACGGAAGGATGAACTTCTTTTCTGGGCATTTATTTTCTGGGGCATTTTATTAGAAATAGTAAAAAAACGGCCTCCCGAGTGACGCAGCGGTCTAAGATACTGCATCGCAGTGCTTGAGGCGTCACTACAGACCCGGGTTCGATCCCGGGCTGTGTCACAACCGGCCGTGACCGGGAGTCCCATAGGGCAGCGCACAATTGGCCCAGCGTCGTCCGGGTTAGGGGAGGGTTTGGCTGGGAGGGCTTTACTTGGCTCATCGCAGTCTAGCGACACCTTGTGTTGGGCCGGGCGCCTGCAGGCTGGTCGTCAGTTGAACAGTGTTTCCTCTGACACATTGGTGAGGCTGGCTTCCGGGTTAGGCGGGCAGGTGTTAAGGAGCGCGGTTTGGCGGGTCATGTTTCTGAGGACGCATGACTTGACCTTTGCCTCTCCCGAGCCTGTTGGGGAGTTGCAGCGATGAAACAAGATCGTAATTGGATCACGAAATTGGGGAGAAAAAGTGGGTAAAATACAAAATAAATATATCATTTATATATACAGTACCAGTCAAATGTTTGGACACACCTACTCATTCAAGGGTTTTTCTTTATTTTTACTATTTTCTACATTATAGAATAATAGTGAAGACATCAAAACTATGAAATAACACATATGGAATCATGTAGTAACCAAAAAAGGGTTAAATCCAAATATATTTGAGATTTGAGATTCTTCAAATAGCCACCCTTTGCCTTGATGACAGCTTTGCACACTCTTGGCATTCTCTCAACCAGCTTCATGAGGTAGTCACCTGGAATGCATTTCAATTAACAGGGGTGCCTTCTTAAAAGTTAATTTGTGGAATTTCTTTCCTTCTTAATGCATTTGAACCAATCAGTTGTGTTGTGACAAGGTATACAGAAGATAGCCCTATTTGGTAAAAGACCAAGTCCATATTATGGCAAGAACAGCTCAAATAAGCAAAGAGAAACGACAGTCCATCATTACTTTAAGACATGAAGGTCAGTCAATACGGAAAATGTCAAGAACTTTGAAAGTTTCTTCAAGTGCAGTCGCAAAAACCATCAAGCACTATGATGAAACTGACGTCTCTTCCCGTTGCTCCCCTCCGGCGCTCTGATTTGCCGGTTTACTGAGCCACCGGTCTGAGCGCACCACCTTGGCAACACCGGAATGGAAACCCAACGCACCTGCACCTCATCATCTCATCACCACCCCTATATAGCCCTGGACTGTTCAGTGTTGTGTTGTGTGTGATTGTTAGTGTCATGTCGTGTACTCGCTCTTTGTTGTTCTCTTGTTCAATGTTAAGTAAGCATTTACATTGTTGATTCCTGCATCTGCGTCCTGCTTCTTCGTATCCTCAGTACTCGTCACAAAATCACACACCAATCACGAAGATGGATGCAGCAGGTAATCCTCCTGGAGTTTCCCAAATCCTCGACCAGCACCAGCAGCAGATTGCCCAGCTGAACGCCGCCATGCAGGAAGTGCTCCAAATGCTGCATAAACTGACCATCACTCCGGTTCCACCTCAGGGAGCGGCGAGTGCACCCAGTCCACCTCCTCCCGTGCTATCACCAACGTCTGAGGGACCCCTCGCCCTGCCGGAGCGCTATGACGAGAAAACAACTAAATGTATAGGCTTCCTGCTACAGGTCTCACAGTATCTGGCGCTTTCGCACGGTGGCTGCGTCTTCCGGCTGGAATGAGCGTGCTCTGCGCACGGCCTTCAGGAGAGGCTTATGGGAGGACATCACGACGGAACTGGCAATATTGGGACGACGAGATGGACCTTGATACCGTCATCACCACGTCCATTCGTCTTGATGAGATGTTGAGAGACCGACGTCGTTTCCAACACCACCCGGAGCCTCGACGCTCACCCCTCTGCTGCAGAGGATAAGTTCATTAAAGTTACCAGCCTCAGAAATTGCAGCCCAAATAAATGCTTCACAGAGTTCAAGTAACTAAAGGACACCAATAAGAAGAAGATACTTGCTTGGGCCAAGAAACAAGAGCAATGGACATTAGACCGGTGGAAATGTGTCCTTTGGTCTGGAGTCCAAATTGGAGATTTTTGGTTCCAACCGCTGCATCTTTGTGAGACGCGGTGTGGGTGAACGGATGATCTCCGCATGTGTAGTTCCCACCGTAAAGCATGGAGGAGGTGTTATGGTGTGGGGGTGCTTTGCTGGTGACACTGTCTGTGGTTTATTTAGAATTCAAGGCACACTTAACCAGCATGGCTTCCACAGCATTCTGCAGCGATACGCCATCCCATCTGGTTTGGGCTTAGTGTGACTATAATTTATTTTTCAACAGGACAATGACCCAACACACCTCCAGGCTGTGTAAGGGCTATTTTACCAAGAAGGAGAGTGATGGAGTGCTGCATCAGATGACCTGGCCTCCACAATCCCCCAACCAAATTGAGATGGTTTGGGATGAGTCGGACCGCAGAGTGAAGGACAAGCAGCCAACAAGTGCTCAGCATATGTGGGAAATCCTTCAAGACTGTTGGAAAAGCATTCCAGGTGAAGCTGGTTGAGAGAATGCCAAGAGTGTGCAAAGCTGTCATCAAGGCAAAGGGTGGCTATTTCAAGAATCTAAAATATAAATATATTTTGATTTGTTTAACACTTTTTTGGTTACTACATGATTCCATATGTGTTATTTCATAGTTTTAATGTCTTCACTATTATTCTACAATGTAGAAAATAGTAAAAATAAAGAACAACCCTTGAATGAGTAGGTGTGTCCAAACTTTTGACTGGTACTGTATATCGTTAAAAACATGAAGAACAAACCCCAACGCATTTTGGCCTTGTCAGCCTTCATCAGGGCGTAAAGGTTTGAGTGCCCACATGAGGGCTCTATAAATCACCTTTGGGTGGCACAATAACCAATAAGAAAACATGTCACATAAACAAAATAACAAATGAAACAAGGGTGTGAACCTAAAGTAAATTATTTATGAATAATAAAAATAGCAACATAAATGTCAAAGATAGCATAAACAACAAAAATATATACACAAAAATGACTATGCCAATCCAACAATTTTCGTTTACTAAGTGGTGACCTTCCCTTTGTTTCTTCTGCTAGTCATAGACTACCCTTTTCAAAAAGTACCTTGTACCAAGTCTCCATGGTCTTACAGTTTTTCTTTAACCAGCACATTGTTTTTTCTTCTCAGTAACTAGTAATTGCATAGTGATTACACTTACCAGACGATTCCCTGTGCTCCTGAGCCGATGGGCCTTAGATTCTGGTAGCGTTTCAGAACTGTGAAGGTGGAATCTCCGACATCTAAACTGTAGAGCTCCCTTTCTCCTCCTCGCTTGTTTCTATTCATGATGAAACCTTGAGGAGCTGCTTTGTGGGCATCCAAACTATGCTCTCTGGACTATGGACCCACATGCACGCACACACACACGCACACACACACACACACAAATGTACACACGCATGCACACACACATACACACAGAAAGAGAAAGAGCGATAGAATAAAAATAATTTAGGATACAGAACACAGGTAGCTACAGTCTGTTCTGAAGTGCATGTTTTTAGCTTTAAAGATCAAATCTGCATTAGGGGAAAGAGCGCTACTGTTCGCCCCAGCGCCTTTGTTATTGTTTTTGTTTTGTTGACTAGAACGAAGGGGAGGAGCTTTCGGCAGTCCTATCGCACATGTTATGATGTCAGAGAGAAAGAAAACAGTGTTTGTTGTTTGCAGTAACTTCTTTGTTGTTGTAATATCCCAAACATACTTGCCAGTTTCACCAATTAAGGATTCCAGCTTTAACCTATTCCTCTTATTAACCCTATCCAATGCTACCGTTTTCCTGTTTAAAGGCCCAGTGCAGTCAAAAACGTGATTTTCCTGTTACATGTAAGTGATGACAAAAAACTAACTGTAATCAGTTACTTTACCAGTTACTTTTCCAGCAAAAATATGGTAATCACATTGGAGATATTTCTGAAAAAAATAGATGATTACTTGTAGGATTACTTTTAAATTCAGAAAGGATGTTTGGTCCTTATCTATATTTCCATATTTCCAAGTCCTATTCTTGAAGATAAAGGGGTATTAAATTAATTGGAATGACTGACTGGAAATCTGACAGACTTTGATTTTGTAAAGATAGGTAAAGATATAGCCTAATCATATTATTCTCTATATTAAAGTAGAAGGCAATGGGTTAGAAGAAGCCTACATAACCAACCCAAGTAAAATGCAACATCCATTTATGGCCAGTTATGTCAAATCTAACATTGATTTATCCTGCAATAGATGTCGTTCAATTGGTAATATTCATTTTTGTATTCTTCTAATGGGAAAGTAATCTAAAAGTAACTGAGTTTGGGTAATCCAAAAGTTACGTTACTGATAAAAAAGTTGGACAGGTAACTGTAATGGATTACATTTAGAAAGTAACCTACCCAACCCTGCTGGTGACATCAACAGGCGGTAAATTAGTTAATAGACCAATAAGATAGTTCCAAACCTCTTTGCCAATAACAGATAGTTTTCAGTTTTCCCCTCCCCACTCAGATCACTCAGTCCTATCAAAATTATTGCTAAAGAGTCATTACACTCCAAAATCAGATGATCAGACGTTTTCAAACCTCAAAAGCGATCTTCTCTTCAGATAAGTCCACATCCCAGGCAATCTGTTTTGTAGAAGGACCTACAGTGTATATGCCACAATCCAAAATGAATAGAGAAGATAAGCACAATGCAATTTACAGATCTGCGGTGCTAATCTTTACCATTCATTTGTTGGTTGAGGTATATACATTATATATTGCTGCCTTACATTTAATTTTCCTTACAGATCTACATAAACTACTCCACATTTTCACAGTGTAAGACATTTTTTAGACATTTGCTGAAATTAATAAAACATAAAAAACTAATATATTGTGAATGCGTAAGTCTGTGTGTGAAGAGCAAATATTTTCAAATTAATGCACAACATTTATTGAATGGTGTCCACCTGTTCGCATAAGTAGTGGTTCTCATGATTTAAGAATAGTTTACCCTGTCTTTGTATGGTCCCTCTGTTAGATAGTGATATTCAAACAATGACTCAATCTCAGAGCCACCAATTAGTTTTAAAAACATGTCAGGTGATACATTTTTAGACAGGCACATATCAGGGGAGGTTACGAAATAATTCCAAGACACTGAATATCCCTTTAAGTATGGTCAAATAGGGTAAATAATCTGTAGTTGGTGTATCGTATCACCCTGGCACTGTGAGGATCTGGCCATCCTTCCTAACTGAGCTGTAGGAGAGAATGGAAACTGCTCAGGGATATCACTATGAGGCCAAAGATGATTTTAAAACAGCCACAGAGTTCATTGGCTGAGTGGAGAGAAAACTGCATGGACCAACAGCATTGCATTAACTCCACATTACTGGCCTGTTTGACAGAAAGAAAAGAAGCTAAAGAAATCAATTCCAAATCATCACTCCTGTTTGAAACATGGCGCTTTAGTTATACCTCAAGACAGCATGGCAAAATATTTAACTTTTTGGCCTAAATGAACAACTTAAGTTTGGGCCAAATCTAACACATCACGGAGTGAAATCCTCTATATTTTCAAGAATTGTGGTGGCAGCATCATGTTACAGGTATGCCTGTCACAGGCAGGGACTGGGAAGTTTTGTCAGGCCCAAAATAAATATGAAAGGGGCCAAGCTCAGGTAAAAACTTAGAGGAAATCCTGCCTCAGTCTTTTGAATACCTAACAGTTTTATTTATCATTTTAATATTTGAATTTATTTTAGAAAATCTCAAATTTTTATTTCACTTTGAAAATGTGGAGTAGGTTGTGTAAATCAGTAGAAAAAAATCGAATTTAATCCCTTTTTATATTTAAGTATAATAAGGCAGCAAAATGTGACACCTGTGGGTGTGAAAACGTACTAGGCACTGTAGCTAGATCTAACTGGATGGCATGGGATGTGGATTCATCTTGACTACTTTTGTGGTCTGAAACACCTGACAAAATGTTAATTTTGAGTGTAATGTCCCTTTAACTCTACAAACATGAGGTGGGAGAATATAATATCATCAGAAGCTACTGGACTGAGTGTGAACCATACACTCAGAAAAAAAAAGTGCTATCTAGAACGTAAAAGGGTTCTTCGGCTGTCCCATAGGAGAACCCTTTGAATAACCTTTTTTGGTTCCAGGTACAAACCTTTTGGTTCTACCTGGAACCCAAAAGGGTTATTTCTACCTGAAACCAAAAAGGGTTCTCCTATAAGGACAGCCAAATACCCCTTTTGAAACCCTTTTTTTCTTAGAGTGTAGGTGGTCTACATCTCTCACCACATTAGTATATGAACCATCAGCCTAAGAATATCTTCTTCAGGGCTCAGGGTCCAATTGGATGAGGTCATACTGATATTGACCTCCCAATGGGTGTTTATGATCTTCACCCTGTGGTGATTTCTGTGGAAAATGTTACGAGATGTCAGACATGTGACATGCAATCTTCTCTTCTTTCTCTCTCCTTGAGTAATTAGAGAGATATATGCTGTATATTTTCTCTCTCTCTCCTTCTCGCTTATTGTATTTTCTCTCTCTCATTTCCCCCTCTCTTCTATCCTGTCTCTGATCTAAGTATTCATTCCTGTCTTAAACCCAGTCTGGACTGGACTACATCCCAGAGACATTGGCCTGATTTGACTACATTGAAAATATGTCCTTCGTTACCATTGGATAGGTAACAGCAGGGTCCACTATATATCTTTCACCTATCGTATCATGTCAAATCAGTGATTACCATCCATTTTGAAATACATCCTTCTTTACCATTGAAGGTAACAGCCATTAAGGGTTCCACTAGCTTTCACCTATCTTATCATGTCAAAATGGTGATTTCCCCAAGGAAGGGAGGACAGAAACATGCATTGTGATTAGTCCATCATTATAAGGGATTTTTTTAACCAAATACAATGCTTTTAGTTTTAGATGTATTTAAGACCAATGGGTGGGTGGGTGTGAATCTCTGAGTGTGCGTGTGTTTACTTTGACTTTGATGTCTCTTATGCACAAGTGTGACATTAGCGACACAGACAGGATGTAAGAGGAAACCACATGGGCTGAATCATAATCACACATGTCTGTGTCGCTAATGTCACACTTGTGCATAAGAGACATCAAAGTCAAAGTAAACACACGCACACTCAGAGATTCACACCCACCCACCCATTGGTCTTAAATACATCTAAAACTAAAAGCATTGTATTTGGTTAAAAAGATTCAGCCCATGTTCAGCCCATGATTCAGCCCATGTGGTTTCCTCTTACATCCTGTCTGTGTCGCTAATGTCACACTTGTGCATAAGAGACATCAAAGTCAAAGTAAACACACGCACACTCAGAGATTCACACCCACCCACCCATTGGTCTTAAATACATCTAAAACTAAAAGCATTGTATTTGGTTAAAAAAATTCTCTAAGACCTAAACCTCAGCTGGAGTTGTGTATAAAGGGTGTGACCCTTGAGCAAGTTGAGGAAGCTAAACTCCTAGGTATAACATTGGATGACAAAGTTGTTGTAAAGGTGGGGAGGGGTACAGTGAGGGAAAAAAGTATTTGATCCCCTGCTGATTTTGTACGTTTGCCCACTGACAAAGAAATGATCAGTCTATAATTGTAATGGTAGGTTTATTTGAACAGTGAGAGACAGAATAACAACAAAAGAATCCAGAAAAACGCATGTCAAAAATGTTATAAATTGATTTGCATTTTAATGAGGGAAATAGGTATTTGACCCCCTCTCAATCAGAAAGATTTCTGGCTCCCAGGTGTCTTTTATACAGGTAACGAGCTGAGATTAGGAGCACACTCTTAAAGGGAGTGCTCCTAATTTCAGCTTGTTACCTGTATAAAAGACACCTGTCCACAGAAGCAATCAATCAGAATCCAAACTCTCCACCATGGCCAAGACCAGAGAGCTCTCCAAGGATGTCAGGGACAAGATTGTAGACCTACACAAGGCTGGAATGGGCTACAAGACCATCGCCAAGCAGCTTGGTGAGAAGGTGACAACAGTTGGTGCGATTATTCGCAAATGGAAGAAACACAAAATAACTGTCAATCTCCCTCGGCCTGGGGCTCCATGCAAGATCTCACCTCGTGGAGTTGCAATGATCATGAGAACGGTGAGGAATCAGCCCAGAAATACACGGGAGGATCTTGTCAATGATCTCAAGGCAGCTGGGACCATAGTCACCAAGAAAACAATTGGTAACACACTACGCCGTGAAGGACTGATATCCTGCAGCGCCCGCAAGGTCCCCCTGCTCAAGAAAGCACATATACATGCCCGTCTGAAGTTTGCCAATGAACATCTGAATGATTCAGAGGAGAACTGGGTGAAAGTGTTGTGGTCAGATGAGACCAAAATGGAGCTCTTTGGCATCAACTCAACTCGCCGTGTTTGGAGGAGGAGGAATGCTGCCTATGACCCCAAGAACACCATCCCCACCATCAAACATGGAGGTGGAAACATTATGCTTTGGGGGTGTTTTTCTGCTAAGGGGACAGGACAACTTCACTGCATCTAAGGGACGATGGACGGGGCCATGTACCGTCAAATCTTGGGTGAGAACCTCCTTCCCTCAGCCAGGGCATTGAAAATGGGTCGTGGATGGGTATTCCAGCATGACAATGACCCAAAACACACGGCCAAGGCAACAAAGGAGTGATTCAAGAAGAAGCACATGAAGGTCCTGGAGTGGCCTAGCCAGTCTCCAGACCATAATCCCATAGAAAATCTGTGGAGGGAGCTGAATGTTTGAGTTGCCAAACGTCAGCCTCATACCTTATTGACTTGGAGAATATCTGCAAAGAGGAATGGGACAAAATCCTTCCTGAGGTGTGTGCAAAGCTGGTGGCCAACTACAAGAAACGTCTGACCTCTGTGATTGCCAACAAGGGTTTTGCCACCAAGTACTAAGTCATGTTTTGCAGAGGGGTCAAATACTTATTTCCCTCATTAAAATGCAAATCAATTTATAACATTTTTGATGTGCGTTTTTCTTGATTTTGTTGTTGTTATTCTGTCTCTCACTGTTCAAATAAACCTACCATTAAAATTATAGACTGATCATTTCTTTGTCAGTGGGCAAACGTACAAAATCAGCAGAGGATCAAATACTTTTTTCCCTCACTGTATGTCTGTTATAAAAATATGTTCTGCATTTTTTACACAAAAATCAACTGTACTAGTTGTTCAGGCTCTGTTATTGTCCCATCTTGATTACTGTCCTGTAATATGGTCAAGCGCAGCAAAAAAATACCTAGTAAAGCTGCAGCTGGCTCAAAACAGAGCAGCAGGCCCTTAACTGCACATACAGAACTAACATCAACAACATGCATGCCAGTATTTCCTGGTTGAGGGTTGATGAGAGACTAACTGTGTGCTTCTCTTCTAGTTTTCATGAGAAGTATTACTGTAATGAAAATGTCAGATTGTCTGCATAATCAAATAACATTAATCTCAGACACTCATACATACCCCAAAAGACATACTCATACATACCCCACAAGATATACCACCAGGGGTCTCTTCACAGTCCCCAAGTCCAAAATGAATTCACGGCAACGCACAGTATTATACAGAGCCATAATCGCATGGAACTCCCTTCCATCTCCAATTACTCAAGCAAACAGCAAAATTACCTTTAAAAAAATGCACACACAGACATTATTTTTTTGTTGTATTGTTTGTACTATTATTATTATTAATTTTTTTGTATTGTTTGTATATCATTGTATTTTACATTTGTGTGACTGTCCTTGTCTATCAGGTGTATCAGTGTTTTGTTACTTGTCATGTTTTGTGTTTTTTCTGGACCCCAGGAAGAATAGCTGCTGATTTGGCAAAAGCTAATGGGGAACCGAATAAACTATACACACACACACACACACACACACACACACACACACACACACACACACACACACACACACACACACACACACACACACACACACACACACACACACACAAACACACACAAATCCCCTGCACAGTGTCACATTATAATCACACCATTCCGTGTAGCTCAGTTGGTAGAGCATGGCGCTTGCAACGCCAGGGTTGTGGGTTCGATTCCCACGGGGGGCCAGTATGAAAAAAATAAAATGAAAAGAAATGTATGCACTCACTAACTATAAGTCGCTCTGGACAAGAGCGTCTGCTAAAATGTAAAAAGATATCAATCATCAGACGGATCAGCTGGGTGGATGGAGTGTGGTGCTTAGCTGTACTGTTTTTAGCTGTAGGTTGTATACCTGCATGGGTCATATACAGTTACTAACATGCATATTTAGTGTAAGCCCGAATGAATAAATGAACAATTGCTGTATAATGATTTACAAACACACTATGGTTAATGAATTAAGCGTAACCTTGTGTAGCCAACATTATGCTATAACAATGGAGCTAGTGCTACTTAGCTCTTGGGTGTTGTCAGTTACTGTAAGTTGCAGTCACCAGTAAACAGTAATACCTGCTAATGTGTTACAGTGACTGTTTATTGTGAGTAATCAGTATGAGACAAAAGGATGAATATTGGCTATAACTGCAGTATCTACAGCCCTGGAATTACAGTAAGCGACCCTCCACTTCAGCATCCACTCCAGTGTCATTACTGATGAACTGTGTTCATAATGAACATGATAAACAGCCCCTCAACACTGGCAGTCAATCCTGAACCCCACCCATAGGAACTGACTATAGCCTACATCTGTCAAAACATCCATCATCATTAATCTAATCTCAAACTATTAATACAGTATAACTGAGCAATGAATAACACTGGAACATACACAGAAAGCATCTGATTTAATTCCTAAATAGAACATTCCTTCTGTATATAATATAGAATAATACATTGTTTACATGTGGCATTGCCTATATAGGCCTAAGTCTTAAAAATGTTATTGACATTTTAATATTATATGTGGAATAGATCATAAAATGCTATAGGCCTATTTTGGCACCAGGCTATATGTAAATACTTGGCCTATACTATCCAACGGTTATTGTACCCTAATTATATCCCAGGCATAGCTGTCTTTCTCACCTAATTGATTGTACACTCAATGAACAATGTCGTAGACTATGGTGTTGCCAAAACTTCAAGAATGGCAGAGGGAAGATTCTAGGGCTTAGGCTATACATTGACCATTCAGGTGTTGACCATTCAGATTGTTTAAAACCAATAGTGATCAATTGCTATAAATGGCCCTGACAAGCCCCAGTGTGTTAATACCGTCATAATAACCTTGGCCAGCCGACCCTTTACCGCTATACGCCCCTTACGGTGGCTGTGGCTGCCAGGTAAAAAAAAAAAAACACTAGCGCCTTGACAATATGATGATAATATGACGATAACCAACCTCGCTAAAATGTAGCAAGTAAGTCTATAATTCCCAAGCAGGCATTTTGGTAATAGCCTGGTTATTACAGCCTGTATGTAGCCTATGCGATGAGTTATTAGCCTACACATACGGAAAAGCCTATTTTGAGCACTATTCTATGCCAATCCAACAATCGAATATATCGTGGTAGCCTTTACTGTTACATTGAATCATGGACAAGTAGGCTATTAGCTGAATAGGATAGAATACATTGCACCATTATAATATATTGACAACAACCCGCATCTGTAGTTGCGTGCGGCGCGGCGCAAACGACCCTCCCCCACAGCTAAACAATGCTATGGACAGCGGCGCGGAACCGTAAGCGCTTACCTCCGTCAACAAAATACAGAATGATCACTTCTCGATTCTCCACAATAGTCCGCGTCCTTGACGATGAATTCAGTTTATTTATAAGGATAATACAATTATCGCTATTATGTTGTCAAGCTACAAAACATGACCTCACCGAATTCACTACGCTCTCTGCATTGACAGGCCGTGCGCGCACTGCAGAAGACATGCGTACCACGTCACTCAAGCCCTACACATCCGTAACATCGGAGCTACCAAGAGGAAGAGGTGAAGCGAGAGGTTTCACTCCGACCAAAATCGGTCGACGAACATAAGCCCACAAAGTGAGGATTTTTTTGTATTGGAGGTCAATGAGAGAGTGTCAATTTGGTCAGAAAAACATTGAATTGATAATTTGCACATTAGGCTTATTTGATAGAATGTACGTTTCTTAATAGTTAGGTTGTTGGGTCTGAATGCACTGATATAAGTGGACGCACGTGGCATTTCGACAACTTACCGAAAAACGACTTTATACCGGAGTTGTGCCTGTTGTCATAAAAATAGATAGAGGACTCATCATGGATATAACCATTTTAGTATGGACGTTGACATTGAGGGCTTCCACCATTTTCAATTAGTTAACTGGGTGGAGATTCCTATGAGTTGCGAGCAATCAGCCAATGAAGAAGAAGAAAATTGACTACTTTAAATTTAAAATAGCATGGAGAGCGCCATTGAGGCAGTCACAGACGCTACAATGGCACAGATACAAAAATGAGTCCTCTATCTATCTCTATGGCCGGTTGTTCACACCCGTATCTGCCCTCTCATTGACTAGAATGGTCCCACTTGATCTCGCCCCCTCCCGTCTGCCTTCCATCTTTGAGGACATGTATTTCCATTGTTAGAATGGTCAGTCGAATATCTTGTCAATATAATAGACAACATTTGGAGCTTCTTCTTCTTCTGCTTCTGCTGCTGCTGCTGCTGCTGCGGCTTCTTCTTCTTCTACGGTATAATGGTGGTCCACAAACAAACGTTTAAGGGGCATGCAGCCACCTACTGTGCTGGAGTGTGGGATCGATCATGATTTGCCAAATTCTGTACTATTAAGAAAATGTTGTATAATAATAAACATATAAACCCCTACTAACATCTAACAAACTGTCCCCTATCCCCCAAACCCTTCCAAACCCTCCCAACATCTTCAAACTTTCCCTCTATCATGCTGAAACAATCCATCTTTAGGATTATTTAGCATTTCAAAAATAATGTCGACAATAACATCTGTTACCCCTTATAACTCTTTAGCTGTATCCACAATAATCTTCAACCTGGCATTTCTGCTTTCCACAATCTGAGTTGTGTTGATAACCTTTCCAATGAAAGCTATAAAAAGTGCATTCCGGTTCCGGTGGCATGCATTGCATGGCCTTTTTGAGGCTTTCTCATGGCGCATCGAACTCCATCAATGCCACGCCCCTTCTGAATCCCTTAACTCAATGCTCGTGGAGTTTGTGCTAGTACAAATAAACATAACTGCTTATTTGGACGTAGCTAGCTATTTTACAGTGAAAGTGAGGTAAATTATTGGATAAGAAATTACCAATAATCTAGTATTTTCTGTATTTCGGCCCGCATAATTCTAGACTATTATTTTATGTGTATTGCTTTATCATATTGTATACTGGAAGTGATCTTTATTCTCTCTGGCCAACATTGTTGTTGTATGCTAACATTAACGTTAGCTTGTTGGTTCCTGGGAGCTGTAGACCTTTTAGCTAGTTGTTTAAAAATCTACTCGCTGTTGTTATCATTTATGTAAAAAGACAATCAATAATATCAATCGTGTAAGCACATGGAAATACTTTTTAGCAAATTATTTATTTATTTCAGACTCATGACTGAAGTGGTGGGCTGTGAGTGACGGACTTTGAAACTCAATCTCTCATGATTCCGTAGTACCGGAATTGACCGTGTGTGACGAGGTGTGAAGGAAGGAGTCAGGCGCAGGAGGTAAGAGTTGATTCCGTTTACATTTTACATTTTAGTCATTTAGCAGACGCTCTTATCCAGAGCGACTTACATTATCTATTTTTTTTTATTTTTTTTATTTTTTTTTATACTGGCCCCCCGTGGGAACTGAACCCACAACCCTGGCGTTGCAAACGCCATGCTCTACATCCCTGCCGGCCATTCCCTCCCCTACCCTGGACGACGCTGGGCCAATTGTGCGCCGCCCCATGGGTCTCCCGGTCGTGGCCGGCTACGACAGAGCCTGGATTCGAACCAGGATCTCTAGTGGCACAGCTAGCACTGCGATGCAGTGCCTTAGACCACTGCGCCACTCGGGAAACGAATCAAACACTCCAAGCGTCAAAACGAAACTAACAAGGGAAAACATCCACCTTGGCATAAACACTATGAATAGTAGCTCAACCGCGCTACACGCTCTCACAGCAAACAATCACTCACAAAGACAAGGGGAACAGAGGGAACACTTATACACATACTAATTAGGGGAATGAGCACCAGGTGTGTGTGATTGACAAGACATGACAAGTGGAGTGATGACAATGGGATCGACAGTAGCTAGTACTCCGGTGAGGACGAACGCCGAAGCCTGCCCGAACCAGGAGGGGGGGCAGCCTCGGCGGAAGTCGTGACAGCGTGTTGTCATTTGTAATATAATTACTCTGCATATATTACTCTGCATATAATGTATAATAATAATATAAGTAACAATTGTATTTAGCATTTTAATTACATCTGTGATAGTGTAGCTAGTTTATTTATTGGCCTGTATGTGTCCAAAATAACATTTACTGGTATGTATTGTCTGCACAACCATTAAAGTGATCAGAGAGAAAAAATGATACAATATTTGAGCCTTAGTAGTTGCTCAAGGAAACCTTGTTGACAGTGTATTGAGATGTTATTCACAGTACACTCAGAAAAAAAGAGTGCTTTGGGGCACCATTTGTGCCTGTAGGGGAACCCTCTAAAAATAGTTTCCAGATTGAACCATTTAAGATCAGATAAAACTCTTTCTTTCTGAGAGTGTTGATTATTAATTGTCCCACAACTCACTGTCTTTATTGACGATCAGGTAAAACACAGAATGACTGTTTTAGCCTAAGTTTGTGCACTGGGACAGCATCAGTGGCAGAATCAGTGAACTAGACTGGGAAGGCTTACTGTCCAAGTCTACAGGGGCAACAGGGATGTGACCTGGCAATAGTGCAACCAATAACACTATATGACTTCGGCAAGACTGCCCTGCAAAGGCAAAACGCAGTAACTACAAATTTGGTAAAACATATTTGATCTGCTGTAATGGTTTTCTGACACAAGAACAAGCCAGTTGATCAGAATATATCATAGATTATCAGAAATTGCTGTCTGTCTAGACAGAAAAATAATTTGAAATCAGATTTTGCAGTAAAAAAATTGCGTAGTTGCTGCGTTTTGCCTTTGTAGGGCAGAAGTGGGAGCCTAATAATCATATCTTACTATGAATATATGGCAACTATACAATAAAATATAGGCCTAAATCTTTCTGTTGAGCACTTTGGCGTTACAAGCCAGTTGCTAAATGTACTCCTAGGGTCATTGGAAATACTATACAGATATTCCGTTTCTGTCTGGTTCTCTGCTCTGTCAAGACCTCCAGAGAATCTGGAGTCAGGCCAACAACTAACTCCAATAACTGAATCAGCCTTCTTAATCAGTTTATCGTTCTTGTTCCTGACGTGGACAATTTAATATCTAAAATAACCCTCTACTTACTACCTCATTCTGGAATTATGATTCACATAATATGACATGATGGTATGAGTATGATATTAAACAATTAGCCTTTTGTGTTCATATTGACAGATTATAAAGATGCACATTATTGTCTTCATTTTCAGAAATTCTGGGATCAACAAATAAAAACGTGTCCAAGATGTGCCCAAACCCTTGTGGTGAGGGCTAAACATTTTTAGTTCTGTGGGGCCCAACAGCCCTACAAATAAATACAAATAGAGGCTTGAAAATATCTGGGAAAATATCAAACAAGGGGGTCCACAGTCTGAATTCGTCAGACTATGGATAATGCATACCTCCGTGTGAGTGAAAATATTGTCATCACAAGCACATCTGTTGATATTTTGTTTGTTGAGGCAGACTGGAAAATATACACTGAGTGTACAAAACATGATGAACACCTGCTCTTTCCATGACATAGATTGTCCAGGTGAAAGCTATTATCCCTTATTGATGTATACTGAACAAAAATATAAATGCAACATGCAACAATTTCAACGATTTTACTGAGTTACAGTTCATATAAGGAAATCAGTCAATTGAAATAAATTAATTTGGCCCTAATCTATGGATTTCACATGATTGGGCATGGGAGCAGCCATACGCGCAGCCAGGCCCACCCACTGGGGAGCCAGGCTGTCACGACTTCCGCCGAGGCTGCCTCCCCTCCTTGTTCGGGCAGGCTTCGGCGTTCGTCGTCACCGGCTTACTAGCCACTGCCGCTCCATATATCATCATTCCATTTGTCTTGTCTTGTCAATTACACACACCTGGTTCTTATCCCCTCATTAGTCTGTGTATAAGTGTTCCCTCTGCCCCCCTTGTCCTTGTGGGTGATTGTTTATTTGTGAGAGTAGTGTAGCTCGGTGGAGCTACTCGCACGTTGTATTGCCAGGGTAGATATTTCCCCTGTGCCTGTATATTGTTGGAGTATCTCGTACTGTGTATTGCCAGGATAGATAGTTTCCCCTGTGCCTGTTTTCGTGTGTCGCTATCTAGCGCAATTGTGTACGACGGAATAAACTCTGTACTCAGTGATTTACCCTCCTGCGCCTGACTCCTTCTATCACACTCATCACACATGCCCAGCAAATCAGAACACGTTTTTCCCCACAAATGGGCTTTATTACAGACAGAAATACTCCTCAGTTTAATCAGCTGTCCGGGTGGCTGGTCTCAGACGATCCCGCAGGCGAAGAAGCCGGATGGTGGAGGTCCTGGGCTGGTGTGGTTACACGTGGTCTACGGTTGGGAGGCTGGTTGGACGAACTGCCAAATTCTCTAAAATGATGTTGGCTTATGGTAGAGAAATGTACATTGAGGGAAAAAAGTATTTGATCCCCTGCTAATTTTGTACGTTTGCCCACTGACAAAGAAATGATCAGGTGTCTTTTATACAGGTAACAAACTGAGATTA